TATTTAAGTTTTTGAAATTGAACCAGTTATATTTAATTGGTTTAAAATGATTAAACTTTAAAATGATATAGTCAAATGAATTTGATTGTAGAAGAGAGTGCTAGTGTTCCTAAGGTTACGTTGCGTATGGATATAAATAAGATCGAATTTCGATCTAACTACATGAAGATTAAAAAGTTGTTAAATATTTTGTTTAGTTTTAAAATAGCGCTAATAACCCAGGAAGCAAAATGATATTATTTAATATTAGAAAGATGCAATATAATACTGCCGTGCTAGAAAAAGCTAGACTTCTAAATCCTATCTTCTAATATTAGACGTAATATTATATAAGATTAAACTATATTTGATCTAACATTCGAACTTTTAAAATTATCTCTTTCATTACTTTTGGTCCAGCGCCATTGCTTTGTAAAACGGCACCTCAGATCAATAATAAATAAACATTTATTTTATTTGAGTTTCACTTGAGGGTGGTAATTAAACTCTATTAGCTAATCCCCTTTACCCTGTGATGTTTTTCGATTGTTGTGTGGTGCTACCGGGATTTTTTGGTTCAGGCATTCATACAGAAATCCACTCATTGAATTTTATTATTAAAGATATCACAATTTTTTAAGAATATTTTCAAATTATATTATTACAGTTTTAAATCAATATTCAGTACTTAATTGTTTCAAATTTAGTGCTTTCAATGTTAAGTTTTTTTTCTCTTATAATTTTAGCTTCATCCTCAAGCTAATCTACTAGGAAGGAACAATTCAATTTTGAGATGGGCTGCTGGACACTGCAAGTAGAAATGCCATACTTCCTTTTACTCTGTGGAAATGGCACACTCTGGTAGAAAACTGGGGGTCGTAAGTTCAATCGTGACAGCAAACAGAAAAAAAGGTGTATATACGCAGCAAGATGCACTTTAAATCTGCCTTGGCTTAACAGGAGGGCTCCTGTTGGTTGTTGTGAGAGATTGGGGAAATTCAGGAAGAGACGCGTACCTGTGTGATTCATTCCTGATATGTGCGTATGTTGGTGTGGTATACACATTATTGACTTTTGCTGATCATTATTTAAAGTCTTTCAACAAAGCATTTAAAGATTCATCGGATTATTGCTCTGAAATACAGTTGCAAGTAAAAAAAAAACTGAAGATGAAAGAAAAAACTCTAAACTGCGTGAAATGACTGTAAAATTTTGGAATTTTTTATTATTATTTAAAAATCATAATAAATTAAATAAATGTCCTGAGTCCAGCTGTTGCTTTTTGGAATAAAAAAAATTAAAATTGTTTTATTTGATGACAAATATGTATTTATAACTTGTATTTTAGTAAAAGATTATTGAGATGTTTCTTTTTTAAACGATAAAGGTAAGAATATATTGCTTTTATAATTAAATGAAATTTATTTTATAGTGTGTTTTGTTTTAAAATAAAATAATAATGTTCTTCATGATTTTTTTTATTCTTAGTTACTGCAGAGGGTAATTTATTCTGCAACTTCATAATAAATTTTCAGAATTTCAGAAAATGGGGGTTGGCAGATATGAGCTGTGTATTCTCTATAGCTATTCTATAGCTTTGAGTCTTTATACAATCAAAATTGTATTTATTACTTTAATTTTGAATTATTTGGTTGAAATTTAAGTTCAGAAGTATATATATATTTTATCATGGTTAAAATAACATAATAGTAAAATAATATAATTGTACAATAATGAAAATAATAAAAATTTTGTTGACTTAATGTTTAAAATTTAGCTGAAGAATATTTACAGTAGAAATAAAAAATTTTAAATCAATGTAGAAAATAATTTTGTTTACATTTTTAAGGACCTGTATATTCTTTTCACACACATTTTTTTTTAAATGTATAACATAGTTTTTTAATGGATAATTCCTCCATACCAGGAACTTGACAGTGGCTTCTGTCCAATTTTTAACGTTTTATTTCTTCTAAATAGCTCTTTTTAACGTGTTTATATGTAACACCTAGTTTTTTTTTAAATAATCAATTTACTATGTTCATAATGCATAATCTCTAATCGGTGAAATACAAGCTATGGAATTGTTTTAAACAAAAATATACTGTGTGACAGCAACGTTCTCAAAAGGTTATTTGATGGTAGTCAAATTTTAATCATTAATATTAAAAACAGCTTTTAAAAGATTATGTAAAAAATATTATGATTTTTCGTCTCATCCTAATTTTCTATTATAAAGTAGAGCAAATTTAATTTAATTTAGATAAAGCACAATATTTACTACTTGTTTTTGGTTTTGAAATTTAAATGTTATACAAAATTGTTTGGGTAAGATTGTTGGTATAGTACATAGCTTTAAATAAATGAGAAGACTATCTAATTGTTGAAAATTTGTGATGCGTTTGTGTAAAATTCAATTTGCATAATAAAAATTATTGTCAATTTTTATAATACTAGATGCTTTCCTGGTTTCACTCCCTGGAAAACTTTCTACTGTGCGTTTGGTTTTAGGTGCTTTACTAAGTAAAAGTTACGTAAATATTTCTGGATTTAATTTTAGTGAAAAAAGAAATGGAAGAAAATTTATGGAAGTAAGAAATTTGAAATTTTTAAAAACATTTACTTCATTGTCTCAATTAATATAAAAAATGACAATTCGAAACAATCAAACAATTTTATTTTTGGATTTAAAGGGAAAAATATTTTTAAGTTAAAATGTATATTCAATTCAAATGTAAATACAATTTTATAATTATATAAAGTGGTTTTCATTATATAATTTCAGAATATGAATGATTTATAATAATTGTAGAACTACAGATGGCTAGAGTAAAATTAGAGATGATTAGAAAGATAAAATTGGCTAGAGATTGATAAAATTCGCTCATTTCTAAAAAATATAAATTAGGAATACAGTTAAAATTAAAAAATAAACATTAGAAAATTAATAATGATATAAAATTTATCAGAAAAACTTATTGTATGAAGAAAAGAAAAAATATATAAATAAAAATTTAGCTGCTCAATTATAATTTCTTCATTAAATTTGAAATATTTATTCAAAAAAATCAACTGAACACGAAAGATACTTTGGAATAAGAGAGAAGAAAATAGCCGAATTTGGTAATATAATTTTATTTAGTATTTCTGTACTGCTAAGTAAAGAATGCGTGGAATGACTTTATAAATCTATTATTCCATGTCTTACTGATTCACAACAATACGGAAAATTAAGCGAAATTAAATCGCCAAATTATTCTACCATCATCCAAATATTTTCCCTGCTTATTCCAAAAAAATAATGTAAGATAATAATAATGAAAATTGAAAATAATAACAATAAAAATTGAAAATATAAAGTCTTATTTTATAAAGCAAAGTCAATGCAAAATGATATTACGGCGAACGCTAGATAATGTTAATTTGTATAGAATTTAATATTATATAATACTGAGAAAACATCGACCTTTTGTATCTTTGTAATATTCGAAAGTTATACAAGATAACGTTAAACTTTTCTGTTTTCTGATGTTATCTAATATTAGGTTCAACTTAGGAAGTCTTTTGATAAATTACTAATGTTTACTGCAAGAGTAATAATATTTAAATAATTTTAAGTTTTGAAGAAGTAGGTTACTTTTGATGGTCTTAATTCGGATTGGTTAATTCGAATTGGTATTTAAACATGGTTGTCAACTATATGTGTGTTTTTCGAAATAATTTCAACAATCTGATGTTAAAAAACCTTACATTTTTTGAACAAATTTAAATTTTTTGACATTATAAATTTAAAATATAAAATTTATGCTTCATTTAATTAAAATATAATATGCATTAGAAAAATCTTAGAGTTTTATCACTTCGTTGATTTTTAATATTTTTTTCTAGAATTTTGCCTCATAAACACTTAATTCATTATATTAATAAATTTAAAAGTAAAACGTTTATTGCTCAATTTGTATTTATGAGTGATTTCGAAACGGTGTATTTATATCAAAGATTAAAAAATCATCATTATATGAAATTCTGAAATTACTTTAAGCTTTTAATGAAACGAAATATAATTCTGAATTTAATGCTTTTCAATAGGTTTGCTGTGTGTACGAATAAATTTTTTTAATTATATTTTTACTTATTTCCTTAAAAAAAAACTACAATATCTACTAAATTTGCTCTACAAATTATTACTACATTACTACAAATTCCGATAATGAAACAAAATTTCTAAATATTTGACAATTTTTAAATTAATAACTTTATATGCGAGTATTGAATTTTGATTTCTGGTTCGGTTTTTGAATATTTTCACCGTTTAATATTTAAAGGAAGTTTGTAACATTTTCTTGCATTTAAACTTTTATTAATTTTAATTAAAATTTAATGCATTTTAAATTTAAACCAAATTTCTTCTTACGTTTGTTTAATAAAATTTTAAGGCTACTTTTAAATTGATTGAATCGATTTCCCTGAAATTTGCTTCAAAATCGTTATTTTGTTTGGTTTTGCACTTGTACTTTTACTTGCACTTTTCTTTTTAAAACCAGAACTTTTTACCATTTATTCGTTACTTTTTACAGAAGTATTTGTACTTTACTACTTACTTTTTGAAAGTAACTTTCCTATGTATACCCTTAGTAGCAAAATTCAAAAAGAGAAAGAAAAAACACGCAACAATTTATCATTCTAATAATTTTAATTCTTCAGCTGATTGTTAGAAATATAGAAATATAAATTGAATAATAATAATTGATCATAACAATCATAATAATTGAATCATAATTGATAAATAGAAATATAAATTGAATAATGCTTTTGCTACAGTGATTCAATTTATATTTCTTATAAAAAATAGAGCTGATGAATTAGGTTATAACTTGTAACATAGAATGAATAAAGTTTAAAAGTAAGGACAATTTTAAAAGCAAATACGAAAATTCATCTCCAATTCTTAGGCACCACGGAATCTTAAAAGCATTTAATTTCAAACCAAACTATCAAGGAAATGAAAGAATGTGACTTACCTTGAGTATGATGTTTAACTTGTTAAAATAAACTTAATTCTGCAAATAAATATTTTAAACAAAGTAAAAAGAAATGGGATAAAAAATAGCTCGGCTCACTTTAACTGTCATCATCTTAAATCGTGCAATAACTTACAGCTATGAAAACCAACCTTTGCCTGAACCTTTACTTTAATCATAACGTTATCTTTACTGTTTTATCACATGAATGGTCATCTAAACAATTCCGTGATTCTGTTAGTGGTATTACGCGGAAAATAGGACTCTTGTATACTTGAATGAAACGAGTGATAATCTGTAAAGCATCTTGCCAGACATGAATGATACAATGTATTTAGAAATTTTGCAGCTGTTCACAAATTTTATTTTTAATTTGTATGCAAGTGTAATACAATATTTTAAGAACTCATTTCTCTATATAACAATAGGCTGGATCAACACAGTCTTTCCATTGCTGTCAGTGCATTTTTATTGGCCGGGAAATCACATGGTAGGATGCAGTTTTCAAACATTGACTTCCTTTTTGCTTTGGTTGTCATGAGCAAAAAATTAATAAAAATCATGCATGTATTGTTTATCTATAAGTTTATATGTGAGGCTATTATTACGTTTTTGATTTTAACTGGGCACTTGCACTTCGAGAAGAGGAAGATCAAAATATACCCACCCATGTGACCTTTGACGTCAGCGCTAGATGATCGTCAATAAACAAAATGGCGTGTCAAAGTTAAACCAAGCTTTTCCACACGAGTTAGAATGTTAATTAACGTCAATTTAATAAAATACAGCTCCGTATCGTACATTGAATTTGTTGGAATATAATTCTTTCTTAAATTCAATGCAATTTATTTATGTATTTTATTGTAAAGCGTGATATATTTTTGCTTTGTGTACCTGGCAACTTCGATGCATAATTAGTTTCTTTATGTTCTACATGACGTCGTGTCTGTTTTTGTGTTAAGTCAGAAATATAGGGTGAAAGAATTTTAAATCACTTTGAAAGAATATTTGTGAGGGACTATAGAATGTATCACTTAAGAGAACTGATACTTGACTGCGTAAATTAGCTCGATATAGAATGGAAAGAATAGTTGCTAACGTAAGAAAATGTCACGTTTTCAACAACCAATCAGGCTCGAGATACCCACACTATGTCACTTGCAGGCATCCCATTGTTCCCTAAATTAAGATTTTAAAACTAAGAGAATTGTTTTTTTTAATTATGACGTACTTCCATGCTACATTTAAAGAAAAAGTTACTTTAATCGGCATCTAATCTCATTAATTGTATTACAATTGCATTATTTTAATTTGGGTAAATTACATTAAAATTAAAGAGATTCATTAAGTGATTTAGAACTTAACGATCAGTTTTATGCACAATATAATGCATGCAAAAATTGTATTTACTACATCCGTCCATTTTGCAAGCGAAATTATTAAATTACGGTTGTGAACTCTCTGAATTTTTTATAACAATATACTTTTATTTTCAAATGTTATTTTCAAAAATGATTACTCAGAAAAATTACTAGTGTTCACTAATAGATCTTAAAAAAATCAAAAGGGAAATATTTGGTCGTGGGAAATGGTAACAGATTTTTCGTTATAATTTTAACTTTCGTGGAAAAAATAAAAATCATTGTCTATTAATGCTGATGAGACAAAATCAACATTTTTGATCAATACTTTGTAAGGAGAATTGAATTTTAACTTGTAAAGAGAATTAAATTGAGGACTCTTCTCAATTCACAAAATTTTCCTGTTATAATTTTCTGACCTTCATCATTCATAGAAAAAAAAATCCTTGAAATTTGTCAAAAACGAAGGGAATAATATTTAAAATGGAATTAGGGAAAAGACAAAAAAAAAAATACGGTAAACTCTGGTGCAAAATCAGGTAGGGTATCAAGCACATGCCTTCGCAAAGGCTGACGGCTTACTGAACAAGCGGTGTGTATAAGTTTAAGTAACAAAGTGCTCGCTAATTCCTCGTTACTGAACGTTTTCTCGCTAATTGTGGTGAGGAAGTTCGGAAAAGGGGTGCCAGTTCATGTACATTCCGTGTCATCCCACTAGCGTCAATGTTCGTGAACTCATGTTGTTTCTACAATATGTGGTATTTTTTTTATCTATTTTCGTGACATTTATACCACAGTCGTGAAATTATAGAGTCCTGGAAAACGTTGCCAGGTGTGTAACCGTGATTGAGTAGAGTGTGTATGCAAATACTATGTGGATTACATCCCACTATTTTATTTTTCATTTTATAACCATCGTTGAAGAACCGACTCAATTTTCTTGTAATTTTCAAACCGATCCAGAAGACAAGAAACTCCTAGATCAAGTATTGGGAGAAATTTGCCTTTATTTTCATAATTTAAAATATCGCCGGCAATAACTAATTACCATATTTCAGATAACTCCCTTGAATCATTAATATTGAGTCCCAGAACGTGAAAAACTGATCATTAGATCCAAAGTTACATAGGGTGGCTCGTTTTCTTATTTTTTGACACAGTGTGCCATACTTTACACAGCAAAAGGCTATGAAAAGTTTCTGCTTTGAGATCATTGGTTATGAAACATAATCTTTTAAATATAGATTTATTAAAATTATTTTTATTTAACTTAGCCTTTACTAGTTGCTTTTAATTATTATGTCTGTTTACTGAAACATGAAAATATGTCTTGAAATATTTATCAACCGAAATAATCAGAAAGAAAAACGTATGAACACAATTACAATTCCTTACATTTTTATTACCAACTGCAATTACATTGAAATTTTCATTTCCAGTCATTGGGAAACTCTCCTTTTATAAAATTCACGCAATGAATTGTTTAGACAAACAACATTTCTTTTTTTGAAAAAGGAGATTTTTTGTAAAAATCCTTGCTCATAACTGGATTTTTTTTTTTAATTTTGCCATCCTGTACAAAAATGTAGCTGTCATCAATAGAAGTCAACAATAATAGATTTCTGTATCATCTAACCACTTTCATTTCATTCAAGTCTGGAAGATAAAGCTATTGATTAACAGAGGCTTTCATGGTCAAATATATACAACGTTATTTCAAAATAAACGGTATCATGTTTTGAAATTTTAAAAAAGTAAGCTAAAAAAGATTCGTAGCTTTTATCAGCGGGAAAAATGAAAATAAAATACTGAAAGTGACTCCAGAAAACATTTTACTTCCCTCCCATCATAAAAGCAATTGTAGCAATTTTTTTTTCAAAATATGAAGTACTTTTCTCTTAATATTTTGAAGCGTTGGCCTTTCTTACATATTGCAATAAATAATTTTACAATGTTAAATAATGAGGAGAATTTGAAAAGTAAAAATATGAATAAAAAATTTTTTTGAAACTTTGTCACATAACAATTTTTTTTTAAACCGTACTTTTAACTATAATCTAAAGCTAAAAAGGGCTTAAAACTTATTTTGTTACCAAAAACATATTTTGCAAGAAAAAGTAATAAGAAAAAATAAATAAGAAAAAGAAAACTTAGGTTTTCCAGTGGCACAACTTGCTGTTTCTTCTGCGAAATGGAAGAAAATATGGTAACTGAATCCGTAAATTATCATAGTACCTAATTCTTTATTTTGTGTAGTTAAAATTATATGTTGGTGAACTTTAAAAAAAAAAGTGTATGCTAACATTGAATCTGGTCAAAAAATTTATTTGATTTTTTTCAAAAAGGCATTGATCAGTTTTGCTCATGTGCTTAACATATCAAATTCTTACCTTTTTTCATATTTGTCTTCGACTTGGAACTAGAAGAATTTCTATTACAGAAACACTTCATAATAGGACTGATTAGCTCTGGAGACACTTCTTTAGTTTCTCCTAAAACAATTATATTCATACACTTAAGATTCATAGTAGAATAAATCAGCATAAATTTTATAATAGTATCCAAATACAAGTAACACACTAATCATTTTTTCAAACCACCTAGCTAATTAAAGATGAATATGTAAGGTAGATGAGATAGCTAAGTAGTCGGACAGACAGATTGAGAATTCTTTTCTTAGCGCTATGTTAACCTTATATGGTTACATACATGAAAATACTATTATACATACATGAATACTATTATGCATAAAAATACAGTATTTTTTAGTTTGTTTGCAAAATTTTTTAAAAGAGAAGTAGCTTTCTAATAATAAAACTATAATTTTATCAAAAACATTTACTTTTCATTGAACACTGAACATTCTGTCCTCTCACAAATTACAAATATTGTTCAATTGCGTAATCTTTCAATTTTAAATCCAAAATTGAATTTTGATCTGGAAATGAATTAGTCTTCTAGAAGGATTGACATATGTCATTTGTCTACTATTGGACCTAAGCACTTAGATTCCTGCTGATAGCTATTGAAAAGCTTGGTACAGTAACAAGGTAAGTAAAAATATTCTGAATTTTAATCTATTACTGATAATGTACAATATAGCTTCTCCGATTAGTGCAAGAAACAATTACGAGTGTAAGACTTCTATCCCTAAAATTATTCTTAGAATAAAGTTATATAAATCTATTGACTTTTTAACTTTCATTTTGCTCTTCCTAACATTTTCAGAATGTGAACTTACCTCGTTACTGCACCAAGACCCTCAGTTGTAGAACATAAAATATTTATAATTATACTTGCCATTAACGATGTTTATAATGATGCTTGAAAAGTATCCAATGATATAAGTAAGAAAGAAACCTACTGCAACAGTCCACATGAATGATATTCTATACAACGGAAATATATACCTGTAAAAGAAAATCAGACAAGAAAGAAGGTTCTTTTAGCCATCAGTAATTTTCGCTTAAAAATAATATGGGTTTAAAATATCAAATACAAGGAGACGATTATTAAGCTATTTTGAAATAAAGAGTAAAATTTTCAAAAACTAATAAATTTAAAAATTTTTTATAAGTTTAAGAAGAAACTAAGAATATTCGAATCTAATTTATGACTTTTCCGGAATAAGTAGTCGTCCGTAATATAACGCCGACGGGAGGCAAAATTCTTTAAAACTTGCTGAAATGTAGATATATCGATTCTTTTTTAAACTTTAATATGTCCATAGTGTTATTTGTGTGATTTTTCTCTTTAATACTGTCTTAACTCTTCCGGCCCTACTGGGACATCTATATCTCACGGACGAAAAAGCCACTGGGACATATATGTCCCGTCTAAAAATTCGTTGGCACACATTTGTCCACAGCCCCACTTACAATTGCCCAAATTGTTAAGTTTTCATTTATTTTTAAATAATATTGTTATTTTTACTTTATTTGATTTATTATAGCAGTAATTTTTATTTTTTTGGAAAAGAGAAAACTGGGTTTGAAGTGAATAAAATATGATTACGGTCACAAATACCTATTAGCGTTAATCAGGTAATTAATGCCCAAATAACAGTCTTTGACGATGGATAAGCACCTAGAGTAACTATATATTTATACATTTTCTTCGAATGATGAACAACAGGAGAGTAAAGAAAAGAAAATTAATACGTATCTTGAATTTCAGCGCAAAATTTTAAATGAATCTTGCCTTCGATTCGAAAGTTATCAAGATTTTTTTTCATATATTTTAATAATTTGCCATTTTATTAACGATCACAATTACCAGAACAGAAATTTCATTTAATTTGATGTTGTTTCTTGTAAGAACTTTAGCATTAAAAAATACATTAAATTAGAAAAGGTATTCCATGGTAGGTAAATGTCTCAGCAAGAGTTTGCTATGAGTGTGATTCATCAAGATTTTAATGTTTGTATAAGTTTAGTAAACTTTATTTTTTATTAATAAAATATCGCATCTTGCACTAAGAAAAAGTATGGTATAAAAGTACTATGCGACTATGGTAAAATGTACAGCTTTTCTTGCTCTATGGGGAAGTCTCAGTAGTTTTTTACCGATGGGCTTTGGTAATGATTCTGATACAATTAACAATAAAATATGGTTTTACAATCTGTGTTAAATTTAGTTTATCGTGATACTTTTGAGCATGGCATAAAAACACCCTATTCAATTAAAATTAAATTACAGTGTCGTGTTTTTTACGAAATTTGTAGTAATATGAACTATAATTTTGAAACCAGAATTTCAGATAAATCGTTACCATATGAACAGGAAAAGTATCTAATATAAGTTGTTTTATTATCAGAATTATGATTTGCTTTGCCAGGCATGCCATTGACTATAAAGTACTAAAATTTTACCAGACTTTTATTTTCTGTTTAAGTTGACAAAAGGAGAAAATACTTATTCTCTGTCATATTTATTTCTCTTTCATCTCTAAATTTTGTCTAACGAGCAAGCTGAATTTAATGTAAATCATCTTTACTTTCTCGATAGCGATTCGTCGCATTTTTGCTACCTTTTTCCTTATTTAAATATCGGAGTATAACTTTTGATACGCAGATAGTTTCAATCGGTGCTTTCTTTTGACAGAAATTCAAGAATATGTGTTACGTACAATATTAATAAAATGTCCTATAAGTTTAGAGTTTACATTATATATGAGGACTTTAGTCTAAGTAATGGTAAGTAGTATTTTCAAATTGTTAAGTGCTTTTGAAGAGTGAGTGCTTTTGAAGAAAAATAGCACGAAATATCGTAATATACTCTAACTCTTAAGATATTTCTGGATATTATGTTGTTGTTTCTAATGACGCTTGGACAATCCAAGCGCACCAGTCATTAGCCTTTTGCTAATTAAGTCAAAAAAATACGGCTTTCGTTTGATAAGGGAGCATATCACAAGGGTGACAGTACGTTTTGGCTCCAAACCCCTAGAATAGATTGCAGCACCACTCATTCAGGAGGCCACGACTCATTCGTTTCTCCAACATTGTTCATTCGTTTTTCCAGATTCTTGCACCAACGATATTGCTCAGCGATGGACCACAGGACTTTCAATTCCACAGATTTTAGAACATGTATAGTTCGCTCACCCGGAGTTGACCCTTGGCTATGCCTTCATCATGGAGTATCCGACGATACTATTACACTATTTTGGAAGGATGTGAACAATCCTGAACAAGTATGTTATTTGGCGATCATACGACAAAAATATTTATTTCGCAGTCTCCATGTGCATTTTTTTAACATTACATATTTCATAAATTCAATGACATTTCTCTCTTTTGAGTGAATAATTTGTCCTTTTTGAGACATTTTGTTGGAAAACAGCAGCTCTTAAATATAAAATACATTTAACTAGCTTGAGTAACGTAAGCGACTGAAAAAGAATTCACTGTTTGCGTTTGACGAGCAAGGGTTGTCTCACTTTCAAGCATGGAGATGTTTCTCCTCTTACTCCCCCACTGAAAAGAACTATGCTCTCGAGGAGGTGCAGCCAATTCCTGGTGAACGAACTATTATATATTGCATGTAATCGGTGGATCGTTTTGGAGTCTAGGATCGATAATACTGTTCCCAAATGAAATATTCCGAAAACTTATGATCAACTTTTCACGAAGCAAAACTTAAGAACGATTTAACATCTCTGTCAACTTATTATCCTAGATCTTTTATGCACATAAGCATATTGCAGTGCTAGAATTTCCATTCTACAATTATGGTGAAATAAACGGCAGCAGTTTGTTCATCCGTAAAGTTTATCGTACAGAACATATTTTAGCTGTAAGGTTTTGAAACCCTTTTATACTAAGTACGGTTAAGAAACCATGAAAACAAAACTATGCAGTTTTTAACCTTTTACATTTATCATGGTTTCAAATCCTCAAAAAAGAATTTTTAATGGATATTGAGACAGTTTAGCAGCTCTGCATTTCTGTCATCTATGCATGAATACGAGTATCGCTTTCTAACAGCTCAGGGTTAGAAATTGATGGGTGCATACCTCTGGAAACTCTTCATGTGTTAAAGGTAATGGAGAAAATATTGTGGTGTCAACGCTGGAACTTGAACCTCCGTTCTGTCGGTCATGAGATTGACAGATTAGCCTTCTCTGTTGTAACATGTAATTATCTGCAAGGAACTGGCTACATCAGGTGGGTCTAGTTGGTGCGATAAAATTCTGGTTACAGTGCGTAGATAAATAAATGGGAAGTAATAGCAAAATAGAGTATTTTAACGATAATAGTATTACTATGTAACGGAGAGCCTGTAAAAAAAGGAACAATTACAAAGAAATATTTTCATATATATGACTTACTCAGTATTATCATTTTCCACTTTTATATCTGTTTTATTTTCAAAACCAGCTATATAATTCGCATGGCTGTTGCTACTGTCAGCGTATTCTGTTGCATTCAAAAAATTAATCATTATGGAAGAGTTAACTTTTGGACAGCCTTCTATTGAAACTGGAAGTGCATCGTGCTTAGTGGAGTAAGCAACAATACCAAATCCTATCCATGATGAAATTCCCATTCCAATCAAGAAACCAATTATAACACCCTGTTATAATAAAAATAAAACGTTTATTTAAAAAAAATAAAAGTTAGAAAAAATTGCATTTTTTGAAGTTATTATTTCATAAAGCGCATTTTGTGAAAAAGAGAAATTTGCGGGAAAGAAAAAGTATCTTTGTTTTTAATTTTTGTAAGAATTGGAGAGATTACCCTTTTGACACAAATGAGACACCAGCGTCCTTTTTATACATTTTTTCTCTGACACTCTAATTAAAAACAAAAGTATATTTTGGTATTTTTTAATTAAAAAAAAGAGTTTATATGAAAAACATTTATTCTAATAATAATAATATAATATAATAATAATAATAATATAATAATAATACTATATTAATATAATTATAGAAATAATTATTCATTCTTCGCGTTGATGGTCATGGTCACAAAATTTTTAAATGGTGGAACCAATTATTTTCATCAAAACGTTATCGTCACAGTAAAAAAAAATTCATTTNTATTTATATAATAATAATAATAATATAAAAATTTTATTTATAGTCAAAATATATCAATAAATGTTCTGCGTGCGAAAAAAATTTCACTGAGGAATTATTGCTTTACTTAGATCTCTCTTGGATCAAAATAACTGCAAATAAGTGCAAACATGAAAAATTATTGTTTGTATTTGAGCCGCGTTTGGAAGATTTTACCTACAATGAAAAAGTCACCGGTGTTTCATGCTATATTTCATATCCATAAATTATTAAAATGCTAATTATAAAAATTTCGTTTATTTATATCTAAATTAATACAAAATAATTTAAAAAATGTTCTGCAATGAAGAGTTAATAAGAAAACTTTTTTCAACTTGTTAATTTTTTCTCATTTGTTTTCAAGGGAAAAAAAAGATTGAATTTGAAAGATTGCTTTTGTTCCCTTTTAAGAGATATAGATAAAAATAAAGTTTGAACCTTCAATTCAAATTAATTTTTGTATTTCACAAAAACTAGATTCATAACAAATTCCTTGAAAAACGTTAAAAAGTATGAATTAAAAGAACAAAATAGTTAACTTTAAAAGAAAATCATAAATTTAGTTATTACTCAATGATGATTTACGAACATGGATAAGATCCTGTAAAAAGAATAAAATTTTAAATTTATTGAATTTACAAATTCAACCATAAATAAATGCATTTACTTAATTCTCTAAAAAGCCAATAATTTTAAAAACTTCTGATATTTACTTGATTTTACACTATTTAATACTCATATTTTTACGCACAATCTCAATGGAGCATTTATGTATCATATTCATGGAAAAAACTTGCTAATTACATAATTGTACCAATGATTTAATTTGAGAAATGAGGCAAAAATAGCTTACTTTCCTTACATAAATTTCTTTTTCTCGACAGGTGTGGATTTTTGGTATTCAAAATTCCGTTGTTAGTCGCATTTGAGAATTTGAAATTTAAATATCGTATCTCTACTTGTGTAGTCAGGAGAGCGAGTTTTAATTTAAATTTTTTCATTTTATCACAGGAATTAATTAAGCAAATTAAAAAAATATTTCCTTACAATGAGAAAAAAACTTGGTTCAAAAATAATTGCTTTATTTTTTTTCATAATTATATTATATTTAATATGATAATTGCTGAAAAATGTAGAAAATGTAAGAAATGTAAAATGTAAAAAATGTAAAAAATGAAGGCAAAATATTATGAAAAAATCCTGAATTTCAATAAAATCATTTTTAAGTGCTTCTTAAAGCTTTAAAAAAAACAAAAAAAACAGTAAAATCGTTTTTTTCCCCTTTTTTTTAAAAATTTTTCAACCGATTTGGCTTTAAATTCTAGCTTTAATTCTATAAATCAAAACGATGTAAAAATTTGTTTACATTGTAATTAGTTAAAGCATTTTACGAACTTTTAGATTAAAACAGGAAACTTTGAATTACTTTTTCATTACTTCTAGTAGTAAACATGCCCAAGAGAAACACAGCCAGAACAGGTCCTCCAAGACATCCAAATACAGTGACACTAAGTTGTACCAAACTTCCAACTGAGGCAAACACAAACGTTAAAGCGATGCAAAGAAGACCATAGAAAAATGCTAAAATAAAGTAAAATAGTTATTTTAGTTGATATTTTGATTTCAAAATCACTAATTTTGAAAGAGTAAAAGGGAAAAGAGAAAACACTTCATGCAATATTACAGTACATGCATTTTTATTTAAAATTAAATATTCATTGCTTATTACATTGTTTTCAAAAAAATTATGTAATTCTTGTATTACGCAAACATATAATTTAAATTTCTAAAAGTTAGCTTGCTCTTATGACATCTTGAAGTTTAATGCAAAATTTACAATATAAAAAATTTCAAAATGTTTCGAATTAAGCTTAAATTGTTTGGCTGAAAAGGGGGGAACAAGCGTTCGAATCATAGATCCACCAAACCTTAAAGATTTGTTTGAAAAAGGACAACATCGTAAGAAAATTGGAAAACAAATATATAATGGTTGGCAGCTTGACATTCTTGGAAGGGCCTGTGCTATCGAGCCATTGATGAAGAAAGAATTATGACTGTCCATCTGAATTGACGGAGCAGTAATTGACGGAAATATATTTAAAGAACAATTTAGGTGAAAACTGAATTATCCACATCTTATTATTATTTTTTTTTTTTTTTTGAGATTCATTTCCATTTTTCCCTATATTAAATTTCATTTGTTGGAGACATAGACAAAATTTTATCCACGTTTTCAAGCACTTTTCATATGTGATATCATTCTTTTACTTGTTATTTGATGAGATATAATTTTTTTAAACAATCTAGTAGTCTAAAGTACTGGGATAAAGTAACAGAGCAAATGTAAAAATGCAATATGGCTCACTCTCAACACATGCTTAAATTAAGAAAGAATGGCAATCAATTCACTGTTGTATGATATCCGCTTGTTTTCCTGCTTAAAAAATTCGATCCTAAATCGTCAGTTTTTCATATAATTTTCCCTCTAAGCATCAGCCCTGGCTTCTCTCGAACTTTTAGATCCAATTTTTCCTGCAAAATAATCCGGTTAAATCTGGTTTCTCTGAAATGAAAATTGGAGTGAGATGAAAACTCCCAGTGCAATTTTACCCTCGTGCTCAAAGCTTGGAGGGTTAGAGCAGATGTTGATGAAAAAAAAACTCTGAATATTTGCTCATTAATGACTCACTTGCACCACGGGAAGGAATCAAATGATTCAAATGAATTAAGAGTCGTCTCTTAATTTTATCAAGTTTATCATATTTCTAACAAGTGATATTAGTTTAAAAATTTTCTCGGCACCCATTCGTTCCTTATCAGAACCTACATCATCATAGTTAGCCAGACAGCCCAATGTGAGCCAATGCCTTCCCCTGAAGATTTCTCCACGACAACTTCCGATTTATCTTTGATCTCCAATTCTTTTCATTAATTGAGAGAAAATCAGACTCCACTGAGTCAGCCCATCTCAACCGTGGCCTTCCCCGCTTTCTTTTTCCAGTGGGTCTAAAAAGCAGTATCTTTTTTATTGTGTTGTCGTCACTCATTCGAATCACGTGGGCGATACAATTCATTCTATTTACACTACAAAATTCACCAAACCAGTGACACATTAAAATAACAACAACAAAAATGCGCAAATGTTAAGATAAACCTTATTTTTTAGAAATATGGAACATAAATACATTTGAGTCTGTATCACATTGTTTTTTTAAAAAGATCAATAAGATATTAAATATAAAGGAGAAAGATTCTAATACGAAATTATCTACATAAAAACTTCACATAAAATCTCCCAATTTCGTTATGAAATGTACTTCTTAAGTGATCTGTAGAAATTATGAATCTATTGAATTAAAGATTCTACAGATTCTTTTGAAAAAAAATAACCTTGATCCTATACATTTTTATATCTATAACACTTTTTTTTTCAAAAACCAGTCGGGTCAGCAAAAACATATCTTCATGAGTTATTTATATTAAAGCTAGACATTTTACCATGTAATACTATTTTTTTCAATAGGCAAAGATTTTTTTAGTGTTCTGAGAAAACTATGTTTGGAGAAAAATAAAGAAATAAAAATTTCAACATAATTTACTTACTTATTAATTGAGCTATTATTGATAGTTTTATTTCTGATAAATTTTTCGATAACACAAATGGCCGAATCAAATCCTGCATTGTTACTACCGTAAGGGAATTCACACACGAAGATACAGTGCTTAACGAAGCACTAAATATTCCACAAATGCATATACCAGCCAATCCAGGATAGTTTTCAAGACTAATCATCATAAAATAAGGCAATAACTGAAAATAAATGATATACCATTACAAAATGTTTTTCAAACAGCTTTATAATTAATTATTGATATCGTAGAACAGTGCTTCCCAAAGTGTGGTACGCGTACTCCCAGGGGTACGGGAATATTTTAGAGGGGGTACGAGCTCTTTCACAAAATATCTTGCAACAAACGAAAATTTCAAAAATTTGTATTGAGAAACAAAGCTGACCATGAAAATTTACAATTACGTAGTTTTCTATTGGCTATTTTTTGCAGAGTTAGCAGTTAATAATTAGTGGTGTCAACAGTCAGTTGTGATTTTTAACTTTTGTGCAATTTTTTATAGTGAAAAATACATTCATATTTTTATTAGTGACGCACAGCGTTACTAACAATTTAGAAAGGGTACACAGAAGTCATAAGTTTGGGAAACACTGTCGTGGAACAATAGGCAGTATATTCTAATATAGCTATATAATAATATTTCTAAATTCTAAAATAGCGGAGAAATTTAACAAACAAAAAAAAAATAGTGCGTGGAGTCCCTCCGCGCGGAAGAAGTTAAACTTCCCAACCTGCGACGTTAATTGTAGAAGAATCAGCAGTCGTAGAAGGATCACTAGTCCTATTCAACGACTCTTTTTCCTGCTCCGCTCGCTTCCGTGCTCTGTAATCACGGTAATATTGTGCATTTTTCCCTCGTCGACCTCTTGAACCAGTGGAAGTGCTTGTGGTCGCCTCATCGTCACGCCCTGGAAAATGTATTTGTATTAATAATGTATGTGAATGCGCCATAATGTAATTTCAGAAGAGAAAACCTAACAATCAATTAACAGATATTAACAAGAGACGTAACTTGACATAACCTTAAATCCGTCGCATTGTCCGTGGGATTGTTTTCACTCATTTTTTACAATTGTTATCCACTAAATTTGATAATAAAAAATATTACCCTATTAAATTATATGTGTATCAAAACAAACTGAAAAAATATTTATAAAAAAACAATACTTTTATGACTTTTATAATTTTTTATGCTAGTGAGAACCAAAACAATATGGAAATGAATGCGGGAAAACTAGATCCTTCCACGTGATTTCCCGGCCAATAAAAATGTAGCGTTAAGCGTTTAACGCAACCTTGTTGGAAGTCGCATAAGAAGTATAACTTCAAAAAATGTTAATTTGTGCTATTCAAAATGTCTTAAATGAGAAAATAATTGAATTTGCACACACATGTGAAGTTTAATTCGCTTGCAAACAAATTCCTCAAGTAATCAATAGCAATTATCAGCTGTCTTGTTTGTTTTGGCAAGCATTCTCGCTGTGGATTGTTATGGGCCTCAGATCCATGGAGGTTAAGACTTCGCAATTTCAAAATTACTATAATAATGTGGTCAGCAACGCGCACAATTCACTTTTACTTCCTAGACAATCTAGTACCCATTGGTCAGAAACTAGATGAGCTTTAAGCCTTCTCTGAGGATCAAACTCCAGTCCTTCACAAAGACAGATCAATGAATTTAACAAATGAGGGATCGTTGCTCAGATCTCACTAATTGTATGTTGATTTTTTTTAAACTAAATATCTGTAATCTATCAAACGATCAAAATATTCCAAATATTTGAGTAACTAAATGTCATCCGTCTGATTGATTTTTCAATGAATGGCTTTTGAATCTGGGGACGAGCATCTTGTCAATCAAGCTCAAAAATGGTCTGCACTTAGATATAAATCTCTAAAAATACTTTAAGAAACTTTTAAGCGAAAAAGAAAAAGCAACATGTGTACCACATAGCACAAAAAAAATGTCTAACTTACAAATTTGTTTATGTTTATATTTAGAGTTATATTATGACCTCCTGAAAACAATCCTACTGTCTCAAAACTGTTTTCACAATGCCTCTTGGAAACGAAACTTCTTGGTTATTCATAAAATGCTTTTGATTTAATTTCAATTTATTTTTTCTTAAATCTTTTACAATATTCATTTCAATCTAATATTTTATTTTAAATCAAGACATTTCAAAAACTTGCAACAATAGTCCCTACTCTAATTAGTAATAGAACTTAGCTTCATAACAACCTTCATAATAGAATGCAAGATCGGAACCTAAATACGTCTGCTAAGTGAAAATACCCGGACTAGGGACAATGTCATTTCTAACAAATTCATTAGCCCGACTCGTCTTTTGGTTGATTTAAGAATTTATCGTAAGATTTTTTACAGTAAAGATTACTTACTCTTTATAATTTGTGTTTATTGCATCATCTTTTTTTATTTAGCATACAGCCTCTGGGCATTCGTCCTCTGCTTCAGTCCCCATGCTAAATAAAAATTTATTTATTTTGATAAGTTTCATTTTCCCTTATGCAGTGAGTTTTCTTTCGCCTTAAAACTTCCTGCTTCTGCATGTAATTATGTGTGAGGATTTTAATAATCGGCTAAAGCCAGAAAGATGGATGTTCGATATCCTGAAGATGAAGCTTGAAGATGAAGATGAAGTATGGCACAATATCGAATCTATATATAGTGCATCATAGCTTATCAGATCAAAATACATACCTATCTACTAAATGCATGGTACTACAATAGTTTTTTAGGATAAAGAGTTTTACATTACTTCAATAGTAAATAAAACATACTGTCAATATCCTAAAGACGCCTTTAATATTTCAGAGACGTCCATAAGAATATTTGTATAAGTGTAGCAATAGAAAAAAAGTTTTTATGAAAATGTTGTTGTGTAGTGACGTTAATTGCAAGTATTTTTATTTAATTTTTTTTCTTAATTGCAAATATTTTAATCACAAAATAACTAATATAACAAGAATTTTATGAGAAATATTTCTGGAATGTTCTGTTCTTAATGATATGTTTATTGTCTATTTATATTATCCATAGCTACCTAATCATTCACTCCTTTGCAAAGCTTACCTGCAATTAAGCATAATACCAAGCTTAAAATTAACTCCAAATTTACTCGTGTGATAGTATATTTCTAAATATATTTTAACAAAAATATTTTGAAAAAAATTTATGTTTTGATATTTTTTCTTACTTGGTCTCCTTTGTAAATTGGATTGTTTGGTGGTGACAATGGATCACACTTAGAAAAATAAGCATACAGTACTACACCCACGAAGCAAATCATTAAGTATAGAGCAATAGATATGGGATAGCTCGAAAATAAAGCCCTAGAAAGTAAAAAGAAACTCTTTGAGATAAAAATCGATATTATACTTAGATTGCCTAAATGAAAATTGAATACGTATGACACTATCAAAAATATAGCAGATATAGCATCAATTTCATACGGGATTATAAAAAAAGAGGAGTGCATAAGATATCACATATAACTGACTGAGTAGATCATGTGAGAACATTTAAAATGAATGTAAAGTCGTACTAACGATGGGTGCCCCAGAAATAGAACAATGCATTCTTATAAGAATCTAAATGGCAGAAGGGGAGGAGCGTAATCGGGCATTTTTTATAAAATGATGGTACTTTATGTTGAATAGTGGATAGATGGTGCTTTATGGTGAATATAGGGCAAATGGCTATTTACAAATGGTGTAAAAGTTTTCGTTGAGATAGGGCATTGATTTCGGATTTGTTAAGACCCAGGGCAATCAAACACCCTGATTTCAAATTATTTCATTGCTAATGCTGTTGAAATTGTTAGTTAATCGACTGGACAACTAGTGGCATTTACGTAACACTCGCATTATTTGTCACATTTCTGTAACACTTTATCTAAGATACGAAACAGTACCACCACAACTGCCCAAGAGTAATCATCAATGGCTGATTGCCAATAAAATGTTGCACATTGCTTTCTTCTAGACGCATCTATCATTCTTTAAGTGAGCTCGCGTAAACTGGTTTATTAGCAACGGTTATCTGCGATGGACTCCTTTCACCATATATTATAATACTTAATGGTTGCAATGTCATTGCTTCTGCAATTCAGGTAATGATTTTTAATCTAATATATGCAGCTACTCGATTCCTAAATTATTTATATTAAAAAAATATATATTACTAGTAAGTTAATAATGTTCAATCTTTCCAACTTCATAATGTAAGAAAAAATCGAAAGCAATAAAAAAAAATTATCTGATTCTTTTTCAGTTATAAGTATTTTTCGGAGATATTATGTTGTTTTATTAACTTATCAAGAATTAAAAAAGACTGTAATATTAAAATCCAAAACGTTATTTTGTTAAATCGGAAAATGTTAAAACTAATTTTGAGTTTGTTAAAAATGTTTTTAAACAATATGTAACATGTTTTTAAACAGGTTTTTTAAACAATATAAAACCATTAAAAGCATCATTATTTTTTATATTGAAACATTGATAAAACAAGTAATTTTCTATTGAATTTGGAAGAAAAAAATCACAAGCGATGGCAAATAAAAAATATCAATCATTCGGTCCTCAAAATCCTTTGTTTCTTGTCTTTCTACAGGCAGTAGAATATAATTCCCAAATATGAATTAATTGTAATTACTGTAGAATTTCGATAACCCCTAACAGGATTTTTTTTCATTACATGCGCACTTTTTTTATTGCTATATTTTCAACTTTTATCATCTTTCTTTTGAACACGCAATTTAAGTAATTTGTTATGTATTGCACTAACATTCAAATAATAATGCAAAGCAAAAACCTCTTTTTGTTGTCACTGTAAATAATTTGTAATATATTGCACTAACATTCAAATAATAATGTAAAGCAAAGAACTATTTTTGTCTTCAGGAGAAAAAAATAAGGTATACATCTTGACAACTTACCATCTTGAACGCTTAATGTTCTTTAGTGTCAGCAGTCTTTGAACTTGTATTTGATTTGCACTGAACAATGAGACAGCCACGATAACACCTTGGATTAGAATATTCCATGCAGTATATCGTTTATAAAAACTTAGATCAAACCTGAAATCAAAATCAAATATTTTACACCATTTTTAATATCTTGATTTAAATCTGTTTCAACTGAGAAGTTATATTCGATATATAAATGTGAAATTTTTTTAGACCCAATGTAGATATTAGAAATTTGCCCATCCTCTAAAGGAGAATTTTTTCAACTCTCATGAGCTATTTGAAGGAAGAGAAAATTTTAGCTCCCGTAATTTAAAAACAAATAGTTCTATAAATGTGAATACAGTCTTCCTCAATGTAGCGTAAAACATATTGTATTTAAAAAAACATTGGAATGGATAGTAATCTCGGATGTGTAAATTGTTAGGCTCAAATATTAAACCTTAATAACTTCTAAACAATTAGACCAATCTACTTAAGTTTAAATATATATATGATTAATTGCTAAAAAGAATACACGAGAGATAATACTTAATTTTTCAAGAAAATAATGTTAAACTTTATCCCTTTTATAATCTCGCTGTAAATTACAGATAATAAAGGAAGTTCACCTTTGTTGGAGGGAGCAAATTTCAGATCGTTATGATGGGCAGAATTTCTTTAATCATTTCCATATTTCTTTATTTATGACATTGCTAGTGGTTCATAAATAATGTCAAAAATACTCTTCACTAGTTTTCTCTGCTTTTTTCTTTCTCTTTTTTTAGTATTATTATTAAATAATTGTTGGAAATTTTGTATGTCTTAGATGCGATCCAAGGAAGATGTTTTTGATGGTGATTCTTATAAATTATGTGTGATGCAAATCACATAGCGAATTCCTAAATTATTTGCATTTTAAGCTTAGTTTTACTCAAAATAAGGTCCATGATGCTGCAAAAAGTTTTTTCTTTCGCTATCTTAGTATTTTAGTCTCAATACTATTAATAATAATTGCTGGAAAGTTTCTTTCGCTGTCTTAGTATTTTATTTTCAATATTATTAATAATAACTAGGAGGCTCCGCCCCCTGCTCGCTAACGCTCGCCAACCCCCGAGAATTGCTACGCAATCCTATGTGGTTCACGCCGTGAACCATGGCTCGCTGCGCTCGCTCGCCAATGAACACAATGTTCTAGCACAAAGACATAATATATTATCATCAAAGACATAGTATTTTATCATCAAAGACATAGTATTGTACTTATGTAGAAGAATTCTACCAATGTTCTTATTGGCTTTTAAAAAAGTATATTAGCTATTTAGATTGTACATGGTGAAAAAATCAAAACATTAGCTAAATAAGAAACATATTAGCAAAATAAATTATCAAATATTGCTTCACTAATATTCTGCATTTTAAAGCGTGAAAATTCAATGCATAAATAAACGCGAAATATAAAAAAATTCAATGCATTCAATACAAACACTTAAACGTTTTTTAGACGTTTAGGTAGCTCCCAGTAGAAAAATATCAATTCAACAGCGGCCTTTTAAAGCATTCTCACTTCAATTAATTAATTAATTCCTAATTGAGTTTAAATTAAATATTGTCATGTTTTTAGTGCATGAATCTGAATTGAACAACCTGATAATGCTCACTCTGGTTATTGTTATCTGGTTGCTCACTACGTGCTCTTGCCCGCCGAATCCAATCAATTAAAAATGAAAACTGCTGCCAGCGCGAGAAAAGAAATATCATCGGTTTTATTGATACATACGTACGTATTAGCGTTTTATATAATATAGATTGTTGAAAATTTTCTTGTTGTCGATGTGACTAGAACAAGTTGTTTTTCATTGGTGTCTGTTGCAAATTATTTATGGTATAAAATAGAAACATAAAGTATTTCTTATTTTTATAATTTTTTCTATTTTATTATTCTGGTTTTTTTTAAAACAGTATCGCGATTTTTATTTTATTTTAAAAGATTTTTCACTGAATTTTATTACCCAAAGTATTGCACCATAATGCAGAAGGGCGTATTATATTTTGCTGAGTCCTTTTCTTTTTTTTTTTGCAAACTGATACGATTTATTTATTTTAATTTCATTTTATCGTATAATTAAAATTTATTTCCTTGCTGAAGTAAAATAAATGCAATGAATAAGTTTTTTCCCTTTAAAAAATTTTTCGTGAGAAAAAAAAAACTTTCTAATTCTAAAATTGGTAACTTTAAGATTCAAGAGCAAAAGCACTGCTGTTGATTAACAATTTAAAAATAAGATAGAACAAAAAAAAATATGAATTCGATAAGAATTTTTAAAAAAAATTATAGTTAATTTGTAGTAGCGAAGCAATTTGTATTATAAATATCTAGTTCTAACTGTAGTCTGCAGCGTCGCTCAAGCGAAAATACTTTGATTTCAGTATTAACAGTAATCAAGAGATGCCCGTGATATTGTCAAATATCACGGGTATTTCGTGATGTGTCAAATCTTGTAATGTATCAAATGTCGTGATATTGTTGAGATTTAGTAACAATTTAAAATCAGTCCGGCAGCCACTGAATCACACAGACCACCATAAGTATAAGTTCGGGACATTTCAACTTAATAGGCAGCACAAGTATTAAAATTATTTTCATCTCTGTCTTGAAATAAAATGGAAAACTCATCCCCATGCTAACCTGCGCCCTGTACTACTTCCTCACCCACCTCTCGAGCCATAACTAAAATTTGTTGCTTGTTGTAAATATCTGTTTGTTATAGTTCTTATCACTTTTAAAGTATTTAATTTGACTGTTTTTGGTTTGAACTTTATTGTTGTTGTGACGTTCGCTGGTGCTGCGCTGCAACGCGTGGGAGTAAAGAGGTCGGAGAAGGATTCGTCCACGTTGCCCGCCCGAGTTTAAAAAAGGTGGTGGAGGAGAGACAAGACAGGTGGGAGTATGACGGAGCCTCTGCTGGATTAACTAAGTCAGAGACGACAGAAGATTGCTTTAGCTAGAGCCGCTGTGTGGTGGAGCCAGACCCGGAACCTCTGATCGATGAGTTAACTAGTGAGAGGAGTAGGACCGAAGCTACGGAGTCAGGTTCTTTTATGGTACAGAGTTCGTTCCACACCCGGAATCAAGCTGGTCCTCGAATACAATCTATCTGAGTACATCCGATCTATCCAAGTATCTGAATACTATCTATCCAAATCTGAGTAAATAACTTGCTCCGAGAGATTCAACAGCAGCACCGGTGGAGGTCGCAACAACTTTGCTTTTTAACTTGGATTTGCAATAAACTTTATTAAAAACTTTAAGCTCAATTTTGGAAGGCTGGATTTTAAACTGATAATTTACTTTTAATTCTAGTTTTTACCAAATTTTAAGAAAAGTGTATATTGTACTGTTTATAGTTTTACTGGTATTACAGAACTGCTTTTAGTAAATGGTAAGAAGTGCTGATTTTACTTTGTATAAATTGGCTGGTTGTTCGGCACTTGGTAATGGTTCATATATTTACAGAATTTAGGTTTTAATAAATTTTTAAAAATTATAACTGTTTTGAATATATTTCTCAATTTTATTTTGAAACTAGGTGACACTGTTACCGAGTTCGCGTTATCGATCATGGGGTAAATGAAAATTTAATTAGAAAGGTAACAGTACAACTATCGTACTTTATATTTATGCTATTGCTGGAAAAAGGCAAGCTCCGTCACTAATTACTGGTATGACAGCATACTGCTCCATAGTACCGTTTATATTTAAAAATTTTACAGGAATTTTTGAGAAGATGGAAAATAAATCTGAATAATTACTTCGTAACTAAGTTTTTGTTTCTAAATAAGTTCAAAAATATTCTAAATAAGTAATAAATAATTAAAGTAAAACTAACTATTCAACACTGCTTAAACTATCACTTAAGACTCCCTAACAAAATAAATATGAGTAAAAACTTAACGTAAAATAATTATTTATCACTACTTAAATTAATACTTAAGACAACCTAACAAAATGACATAATCGATGGTTTTTCTAACAACCCTTTAGAAACTCATTCCTTATTAAGAATCATTCCTGTGTCATAAAAAATAGCCATTGTACGTAAAATATAGCCATCCAAATTTCATGTTTTGAGATTCAGTAGTTTAGGTTTTGCAATGCTGAATCAGTCAGTCAGAAAGGACAAATGTCTTTTTATATAAAGAGATCTAATAAACAGCCATTAAAATAAATATTTAAAATGATAGAACATTTTAATGAAATAATCATAATTTCAAAAACCATAAAACCGCAACAAAGCTAACATTTTAAGGAGTTTACTATTTTCTTAACTTTAGATTTAACTATTAATATAATTTTTTATTTAAAAATGCTGTATAATTATTTGGCGTACTCAATAAGTATTGAGATAGATTCCTGGGTTTTATTACCAGTGATGGCCAGGAAGACATTCATTTATGCTCTTTTTTATGCCATATTTCTTAATTGTGTTAATAAATATGCAGCATCAATAAGTCTGAAGTTTTTGACAAACTCGTGACCTCAAACAACTGATAGTAAATTTCTTAAAATATCAGACATACCTCATAAAATGTCTCTAAGAACCATCTCGCCAAATTGATTCTCAAAAAAGCAGAAAAAAATTATTTTCAAAATGATAGAACCATAATCATATTTTAATAAACTATAAAACCGCAGCAAAGCTAGGAGGTTAAGGATTTTACTGTTTTCTCTTAACTCTACAACTATTAATATGATTTTTAACATAACATTGCTACATGATTTAGTATACTCAATAAGTATTGAATTAGAGCCTCGATTTTTATCTCCAGTGATGACAAAGAAGTCATTCATTTATACTCCTTTTATACTACGCATCATAACATTCGCTAAACACTATTTCTCCAAATTGAAGCTCAAAAAAAAGAGAGAAAAGAAATCTTTTGGATTGGTATAAAGATACATACGATGGAAGTGCTATTCTCCCTCCATCTTTAGCTATTTGAATCGCATTTCCAATTCCGACATCAATGCATCCTTTAATTAAAATTGCAATCACTCCAAAGAACATGAGAAAACTTTGGAACACATCTGTCCACAAGACAGCCTTCATTCCACCCTGAAGAAGAATCAAATATGAGAAAATGATGTAAATGAACTACAACAGTAATTACTTGATCTAACATTATCTAATACTCCAGTTCAAATAAATAAATATATGATACATAATCAGTGAAAAAAAACTTGTTATTCATTAATATTAAACAATAATATAAAACATTAATATTCTGTTAGCCTAAGTAATGTCCGAAACAAACTGAGTTAATCTAAATGTTTTCGTCACTAAGTGTCTGCTGTCGTTTTTGTCATTCAATTAATATATCAACGTGCTATTTATGTTGCAAGGTTATTAAGATTTGGCGACAATAGAATATTATATTAAGATTTTAAGGGACATTAAAAAGGGATAATAGAATTAATTTTAAGGGATAATAAAATAGCCCAATTTCAAACCTAAATAATGCTTTTTTTTATTATTATTTTCTCAACTAATATCATTGCTGCTAGACTTGATGTCCTTAATGTATCCTTTAATACTAAATTTAATACTTATTTCATCATTTGAACCATTAACTTGAATCCTTTATAATAGGTCTTAGCTCTTGATATGAAAAATGTGGAAAGAAAAGTTTCCTGAAGTTAAATGAAAAAAGGTGATACTTTTCAGATATGTTAGTGAACTATAAATTAAAATTTATGTTTGAAAGAATAGTTAAGCACACAATTTATGTTGGTAGAAAAAAGCATATGGAGAAAATAAACACATAGTTATTAAGTGTTTTATCTCATGATTTAGATGTGTGTGCACGTTTAATAGGTATATACTGTTATGGACAGTTTCATCATGTGAAATAGTTGGCCTTAAGGAAAAAGTCATTAAGTTAAAAAATCAACTGTTTATTTATTCATGTTTTTCACATATAAAAAATGACTAAATCCTTTCTGCCTGAATGTAATTTCATAAAACAAATATATAAATATTCAATTAAAAGCTTATTTTATATTTATATAGTAAATGTTGCAGATGTTATTAATCGTGTGAATTTTCAAAATCATCTAAACCTTCCTCCAGTTTTGTTATATACTAACAGCTTCATCCTCAACATTAAACTTTTACTGGGTAAAATTTATAGCACTTAAAAGCAACCATTTTTTGTTTTTTTTTTTGTTTTTTTAGTAAAAGCAGGATATTACTAATGAACAATTTCATCATTGTACAAGTTAAGATTTTTTTCTTAATTTATAAAACAGGAAAAAATGCGAGGAAATTCTGTTTTTAGTTTGGATGTTAAAAGACTTCATTGCAGCTAAAAATGTATTTTGTTTATTGTGGACAGTAAATTTAAAAATCATTTGAAATATTCTCTTATACTCTACAAACTATTTGTTTTAGTACTTAATATCTTACTATGGTGCAGTAAAATGTACAGACAACTCCAACTGAAACAATAGACACCCACATAGACATATTAGTCACAGCACTCAATGCCAATGCCGGAGCATATAGAACAACAGACATAAACAGGATCTATAAACAAGAATTACATTCATGTTAATATTTTTATAATTTTATCAATACTGATGTTACATAATCTTTAAACAATAAAAACAAATTTCTTTTTTACTAAAATCGACAAGGATGAACAAGATCTATAAAAATCCAAAATGTAATGGAATTATTAATTATACATTTATTAATGTTATGTAACAAATATTTCTTTCAGGTATAAAATACAACAAAATGGTAGTTGCTTGGCAGAATATTATTGATACAGGGAGAAAAAAATGTTGGTTAAATTACAGTACTGTAGGGTAATAATATTTCTGGTAAGTGACACAAAATATAATTCTGATCTATAATACCCAAATAAATGGTATTTAACTCAATCGTTAAGTTTCTTCTGTTCATATTATAACGGTTCTTCTGGAAATTCCAGTTTTCAAAATTATAGTTCCGAAAACCACACAGTTAGTAGGAAAGGAAGAACTAAAAAGTAAATTGAATCGAAAAATGGTTTTTATGCAATGTTCTGAAGTATCATGATAAAAGTTACCACACTTGTCAAATTTTATTGACATTTATAAAAATCATATTTTATGGTAAATTTTACCAAAATCATTACTTGGCCGCTTTTTTAAAAATTATCAAATCTTTTTATGTTCCCATGAAACAAGAAACACATTAAACTTTGCCATATTCTCGTAGTTTTGATCATATTTCTTTATCGGTGCATTATTCATTCGCTTTTTGCTGGTATTTTTCTTTATTCTGTTATTACTAATAATAGAAATAAGAACTATTTCCATTTTTATCATAGATTTGAAAGAAAATTTTACTCAAATCATATGATAATTTTTTCACGGCCATTAAATGTCACACGAAAGAGAAAAAATTGAGCACAGCTGTTTTAAGTCAATATTCCAAATTTTAAGGGAGTGATATTGTTCTCGCATAAACTATGAACATTGTAGAATGCGTTTCAGAGGGCATTGTTTATTTTTGTTTTAATAATAACAGTATGTTTCTCAGAGTTTTTCCAATTATCTCTGACAAAAAAAAAATTCTACATTTTTATCTATTAGAAAAACATAGTTTCCGATATTTTAAGTTTTGTAAATTTTTTATTTTATTTCAGTAAGAAAAAAAGTGTAATAAGATTTTTGTAAAACTCATTATAAGGAGTGTTACCAGTTTTTTTTCCCTTTAGTCATTCTGACAATTATCAACACCAATCAAAATTAAGGGTCAAATTACGGTATAAAATACTGACATTTTAAGTGCGTCTTCTTTAAAATATTATACCGTAATTTTTATAGCAATATTTATTTAATTAGAGCGATTCGGAGATTTTACAGTAATTATTACTAGAAAAATTACAAAAATTAGGCTATGTCAGATCTCTTGTGCCGTAAGATGTTTCTGTAAAAAGAAATTTTAAGGTAGAAAGTACCGGCACCCTAAGTGTCTATACTTCTTATCGTAATTTAAATCGGAATCTTTACAGTTTTTTACAATTTTACAAATCAATTAATTTTCAAACAGCAACTTGAATCTTATATTATTCAAACCAAAGTCATCCATTTCATGATATTCACGAAAAAATGGCTAAATCCTTTCTGTTTGAATGTAATTTTATAAAATAAATAAATAGTTATGTATAATGTTACTATAATGTTAATATACTGTTATATAAATATACTGTTATATAAATATACTGTTATCAGCTTACTTACCATTTGTAAAATAAATGATGATGATGTTAATGTTCGTGTGTGTTTTCCAAATCTTCGTTCTGCGTACTGAAATAAAGAACTTTGTGATAATGTTTTAGAAATAATACATATAAATCTGGCTAGTATAACAAACTGCAGCTATATGGAAAAATTGTGGAACTTCTGTTTCCTAAAAACTACCTTAATTGCTAAATAGAGCTAAAACAACATGAAAAGAGAACAAATAATATCACATTAACAAACCTACAATCGTTTCAGCTCTATAAAGAAGCAATTTCCTCATTGTCAAAATACAGAATTCATAGACACTGATTAAAACTTCATTAAATGTAGTACTCATGGACATTCCATTATATAGAGTACTGAAACCATAGTATTTCTGTTAAGGTGAATTTATTTTCTCAAATTCACAAATCAAGCCTTTCTTTATTTAGATATATTTATGTTTCATTTAATGGAAAAATTTAATAACTCCATCGAAACAACTGAAGACCAAATTCAGATTAATGATTTTCCTTTAAACAGATGTATGTTTTTAGTAATTTAATTTTACTTTATACTTATATGCTAGTCCAATCATTTTTAAATGACTTTCCGTTTCTCTATACCCTCTAGAAAGTACCAATGTGAGGATTAAATAACATTAAATTAAGGTGCCATTGTATCATTGATATTTGTAAGGAGTCTAATTCTTCATCTAAGAGGGTGAAAAATGTTTTGTTTGTGAAAATGTAATAGAAATGGGAAGTAGAATACGTAAATTCATTGCATTTTTCCCGAACAATAAGAAAGAAAGACAGCTACCGCTACTTGATCTGCATACAAATCAAAACAAAACAAAAGTTTTCTGGGAATTTTATGCGAAAAAACTACAATCTTATTCATGACAAAATGATTTTGTATATTCTCCAATAAAATAGTTGATTTATGTAAACAAACAAATCAACTCCCACTTTCACGTGATTATGTACATGAACCTTAAAAAAGAGGAAGCAGTAAAGGAGACCTAAGCAAAATCAATTGCATAAGACATTCTCATTCACCAAAACTGTCGAAACTAAATATCAAGCAATACTAATAGAGACCTTTTAGTTCAAAATCATTTGATCAGAGTTATAAATACATAAAAAGTTATCAGAGTTATAAATAAATGAAAAAGGTAGCGTAATACACCATTCTACCTATTTGAATGCATTTTATCGTAATATCTTTCAAATTTGCTGCAACAATATTACGTTGCTAAAGTAAAACATAATAAAATTTTTCTAAAACCAAATTCTACAATATGTCAGACATAAAAGAAAAATTATTTGAACTGACAAAAATATTTATTACTAGAGTCCTATTATAACTCGATTATCTAAGTCCTTTATTACTTAACCTATACTATCAATTTATTAACTAGATTACCTAAAAGCATGTTTTCCTTGTTTTATATCATTTCGTTACTGTCGAGGCTAATAGGCTCTTAATGAACTAAAGGTAATATTTTTATTCACATGTTTTTTGGGGGGATTTTACAGACTACAGATTCAAAAACATAAAATAATGATTTTTAACATTTAGATCCGAAATGTATTTCATAAATTAATCAAGTGCCATGTTTTTTACGCTCTCTGATTTCGTATTTCGTAAAAGAAAGAAAAAGGCAAAAAAATGAAAAATCATTTTGGAGGGAAATACATTTTTGTAAAAAAGAGGAAATTTTTTTAGCCGTTTAGCAATTGCCTATATTGATCAACATTATAGATCATGCCGATAAGCATTCTAGTTCTAATAATGCATGTTTAATTTAAAAAACAAATTTTGACACTAACTCAATTACAGAAAGAAAATAAAAGTAATTCATATCGAAAGGAAAATAGTTGTCAGAATTTTTTTTTCAAGTATCGAAACACAGTTCATGTTTCCTTAGTTTAAAATAAAAAAAAAACACTTTTTTACAGTAAGATTGATATAAATTGTAGTTATTAATTATTATTAACTAACTGCGTTAATTTAATAATATAGCTTTATATCTTACCTCATAAATTGTTGAAGCACCCATTTCAAAATACACCGGAAGAGTAGTGTAAGCAGATATTGTCATTCCAATGATATATGATACGCAAGTGTAAGCCATCTGTATACCAAAGTAATAAACTTCCATGGGAGTACCAATAATTGCCGTTGCAGACATGAATGAAGCCATGATGGAGAAAGCCACTGGGAGAATAGGCATGTCTTTGCCAGCCAGAAGATACTCATCTGTGGTCTTTTGCTTGTTCCCTCTGAACCGAAAGTAGACACCAATAGCAGCTGATATTATTAACATTAAGCTGAACATCACATAATCCCAAATCCCCAAACCTATTTTTACTCCGTCCATTGTTTCAGATGCAAATTTTAAGATGGGTTGTTATATTTAAAAATTGATTGAGAGGACCTAAAATTAAAGAAATGATTATCGTGAGAAATTAGTCTTTTATTTCATACAATAGGATATCAGAAAATTATGTGTCCTAATTTATTCCGTTAAGGGGTCACAGTACCCAAAAAATGACCAATATATCGAATTTCTCTTATTGCTTATAATAAAACTTCAAACTATTTCAACTGAACTGAAAAAAAATCGTCTCTCTATCTACATTTTTAAAAAAAGTTATGAATGTTTTTAGATTGTCCTAATACAGAAACTTGCTCAGCGGACAGACTTTAATGTGCTTTTTCTCATCGACGATAATTTTGACTTTTAATCTTAATTCAATCCCAAAGGAATTTTTTCTACTTAAGATAAAGCTTTGAAGTAAACTTTTTTAACTTAAGTATAATACACTTATTTAAACTGTGCATGTAATAAGCATTTTATGAGGTATTACAATTTTTACAACATGTTATATATACCTTACAGGAATTTTTAATCTTTTTTTTTCCACTTTTTTACAAAATAATCAATAAAAAATATTCTAATTGATATATCAACAAATGAATGCACAAAATTTTTAAAATTAATATTGTAAGCACTAAGAAAAAACGTTTGATTGAAAATATGTTAAAACAAAAAAGCCTTAGGGATTTAAAAATTTTAAATTTTTTCAACTTTTTAAAAATTTAAGAAAAATTAAACAGTTTAAGTATTTTTTTAAGATAAATTATTGATTGTAAGTTAAATGAGCATGCAAAGCATCCACAAAAGGAATGATTATGCCATTATTTAAAAAATTGTTCGGAAAGCTTAACGGAATATTTTGCTTATAGCAGCAACAGTCAATATGATTTTGCTATAAGGCACTATTACAGAAAATGTAGAACTTCTGTATTATTTGTTCAAAACTTTTCCATCATAATAACATTAAAATTTGCTGCAACATTAATGAGGTGTTAGACTGAGCCATGTTTCAGCTCAATTTGATCCATACTCTTAAATAACCCAAATTCAGAAGAACTAATTTGCATAATGATATGGTTAAATTAATTTGAATGATATTATAGTTTATAGCTCTTCAAAAGTACTGATAGAGCAGTGTATACAAAAATAATAATGCATAGGTATGTCGAATTTATTAAAAAAGCCAGCCAGATTAATTTAATTGACAGTAACATTAGAACTGGCATTTTAATTAAAAATATTATTTATAAGTTAAGCGCAGTATAATTATTTTCATCTAGAGTTATATTAATCTGCAATTTAGAAGATAAAATATATGAAAGTATATACTGCAATGGAAAGACAAGAAATATGTTCTCTCATTCAGAAAAATACGCCCTAACATAAAGAAAAATCAACAGTGTTTTTGTAAAATAAAATTGCAATTTAGCAAAAATAAGCAAAATTTACCTTTAACGGCTACGTTGGAGAGCTTCCTTCCTCAGTGAAAAAAAAGAGGAGGAAAAAAATAATAATGTCTGAACTACATTTGCTAAATCATGAGTACAAATATTTCAGAAACGGTAATTTGAAATATGTGGTGGGTGAGATAAAACTTGAAATTTAAGGTCATTGTTTAGTAATGAGATATTTGAAAAGTGAGCAAGTTTGAAATTTATTATTAAAAAGTGCAGAGTTTGAAATTGATTATTAAAAAATATAATATGTTTTCGCATTTCCTGATGTCTGATTTGGGAATATTAGTTTCGTTTGCTCAATTTCCAAAATTTTTAAACGTAGTTTGCTCTTTGTTTGTTTTAAACAATATCAAGCTCCTATAACACTAAGAAAGAAAAAAAAAATTTTTTGCATAAAAAATTTTTGCTCTTGAAAAATACAAAAGAATAAATTTTAAAAAAAATGGTTTTTTATTATTAACACCATTTATTTGATAGCGAATATAAGCCCTCTTAAATTAAAAATTTCTATAACATAAAATCTATATACTCACGCACATAAGTTTTGGTTTGCAGCTATCTAAAAGATTCAAATAAGAACAAAGACTACACAGATTTTATTGAGAAGTATAAAATAAAGTTAAGAGGGAAGTTCATTTTCTAGCTGTCGTCATATTGAATTAGTTTCGATCAATTCACTTATAAAAGCTATCTAGTATTAAAACTGTTACGCTATTTGGATGCAATCCTAAGCCTTTGATCATACGCATGATAAAGGAAGAAAAAAGAGTTGTTTTATTTTTTATGCTCACATAGTAAAAAAAAAAATTCTTTAAAATGAAGGAATGTGATTGTCAATCAGAACTTTCAACAACTAAGGAAATCTCAGCATGTTTAGAAAATTTTTGAAGACTATTTATAAACTTCTACTTTTTTTAAATGAAAATATATCAGAATTTGATGCTTAAATAAATGAACAAAACCATTTCTGATTATCTTTTTAATGCAAATATTTGTGTTATTTGCTGTAGAAGTTTTTTATTAATTGTAGATATTTATGTAGAAAACATATAGAAATATGTAATATATAAATAGTAAGAGATATAATGCATGGATAGTAGATATTTTTATAGATAAATGTAGCACAAAAAGCTTCGGAAACACCAAGATTGCTTAATGGCAACAGAACTGTAAGATCTAATTAATTATGCATGATTCTTAGACCTAAACATGAAGAATTTGTTTTAATTGCATTACGCAATAACGAAGATCATAAGTCATAGTGCATGACAGCAAACAATAAAATTGAATTTGCGTCGTCAACAGACTTATGTTTTTTTTTCTAATAAAATTACCCATCTCATGACTGTTTTCTTTTCATCACATACAATCGCTATCAAGTTGTGTAAAAGAAAAGAATATTGAAATATCTTTTGCATTACTGATTAGACAAAAAAGCTTTTATGATGCATAAGACATATTATTATATTTTAACATGCATAAGACATACACATTATATTTTTCAATTGATTTTAAATTTTATAATCATTAAAGTTAACATATAAATACTTTAAAATGGTTGTAATAATTTCTGCAATAAGAAATGCAGTCCGAATATAAATTGCATTAAGAAAATTGTAATTTTTTTTCTGGTAAAATTTGCTGTTTTTTCTGCTAAAATTTGCTGTTTAAATGACTAATAGCGACAAAAACTACAAGATTAGCCTGAGTCATATGCATCCAGTTTAAAAGGACTGTTTATTTGCAAAGTATACGAAGGTATTATTCTAGTATATACTAGACATCTTCAATACGTGCAACCTTTATCACCTGATGCGTATTACAATGATAAACCAATTCCGTACATACGTTCAATATTTAGTTCATACATCATAGCAGCAGTGATGCGTACCTGCAGAGCAATTGGCATTTAGGAGAGCATAACCAAGGAGGGACAAGGTTTTTGTTCCTTGACCCCATTCCAAATTGTGAAGAGCAGAATTTACGCAATTCAATATGGAAATAAATTCAATAAGTTTGACGCGATTTGAATAAAAGCAGACTCTCCTAAACTAATATAAAAAGATAATGCATATTTTTAAGCTAATAAATACAACTAATATGTTAAAAATCGCCTTGCTGTAGGGCTGACTGTGATAAGTTATCGTGGTTTTCTTCTTCATGCAACGCTAATTTGGGTAAGTTCCATCAAAATGTTCTCAATGAAGGCTAGTCTGTCCCTATGCTTGATTCAGTAGTTCCTTTTTATTCTGGGTTTGGTTCAAAATACAAGAATACGGAGTTGAACTTTGATAGCCGTAAACTCAGAATAAGGTCAGCTGTTCAGCGCCAGTTATAAAATAAAATAACTTTAATTATTCGAATAGATTTAAAATATATTTATTTACATCTGAGAGATGCATTAATTTTTCAACATAGTCACCACATAAATGGCTCAAAGAAACAAAGAACACCCTTAATAACTTTTTACCCAATGATCAAATTTTCACATTTTGGAATTCAATTTTAAACTAAGCTTACATATGACAAATTATCTTGGGCAGAGATATTAGAAGTTACAGATTCAAGCACAAAAATTTAGTTTTTCTGAATAAACATATTTATTTTCCTCAAAATTTGGATTCTTGACCCTTGGAATACAGGGAATTATCGTAATTTGGAAAATATGGTCACAATTGTTCTGGCAGAGGAGCGATTGAAAGTTTGAAATCCTTAAAGCTAATTTTACATTTTGTGTGTTTCTCTATCTTAAAGAAGTCGTTTTTTAAAAAAAAAGTTTAGGAGCTAATGGACAAATTTTAGATTTCGGCATTTAATACTATATAGATTAAAATGATGTAAAATTATGTATAAATTAAATTCAATTTTTTACTACTTATTAATATTAATATTGAAAAACAATAAATAATTGTTTTTGCATGAACTTATTTTTGCATAAAATAGATTTGTAATTATGTGCAAAATGTTTTTTTGTTTGCTTGTTAGGTGAGTTATTTAGAGAATAGGCAATAAGTATAATTAGGATTCATGAGACGAACTTTCTACCGCTCAAACTCTTAAACTGTTAAGAACATATTTTCTAGAGTGTCAGCAACGTCCAAATTTTCGGAATCGAAAATTTCAAATCCATTTTGAAAAGGAGTGAATCTAATCCGAAAAAGTAGTTTTATGCTTGATTTCGTAACTTAAAATATCGCCTGCATAAATTGATTAGCAAATTTAAGTTTAGGCACTCCAACCCTAAGTAATTACACGCCACCCATTGTTTTAAATCTAATTTCACTTATAATTATTAAAAATTTGAAAATATCAATCTAATGTTTTAGTAAGCAAGCTTTCTATACATAAATATTGCTTCAAACAATGTCTTCGTCAAAAATTTTGTGTAAAGCATGTACAGAACCAATTCTCGAAGACTCGGGTGGATTAACATGCAAAGGTGAATACAATTCTGTTTCTCATTTTCATTGTGGCGGTTTCACTGATAGAGCTTTTAGAAAACTTACTGTTGATAAAAAACAAAAGTGGACCTGCGTACTATGCTCAAAACCACAGGAAAACCCAACGAAAATGAAAAGTGCAACTAGCTCAGACATTCTCGAGGATATATTACAGCAAAATAAAGAACCTAAAAGAGTTAATAACTAACAAATTCAATGATTTAACCCATTCAATTGAATTCAACAGTGAAGTAATTCAAGAGTTGAAAAATTCTATCACAGAGCTACAAAATGTAAACAAAACTTTACAAGCGAAGAATGATCAGCCAACTCGAGGAAACGCAGAAATAAAGAAGGAAATAAATGAACTAATAGAAGCAGTTATTGAGCTCAAGCAATATTCCCGAAGATCCAACTTTGAAATAAATAACTTACCCGAATGTGAAAATGAAGACATACAACAAGTAATATCCCAGATTGATAATGTTGCAAATACTAATATATCCGAAAGTCTGATCACCGCTCACAGAGTCCCCAGCTTTAGTAAAGATAAACCTAAACCCATGATCGTTCAAGTTAAATCCAAATCTGTACGTGATGAGCTAGAAACTGAGAAATCGTAAACTTACGAATTGCGAAGTCAACTCCAGGTTCACAGAAATGCCTGTTTACTTCAATGAACATTTAACTCCCGAACAGAAGCATCTTTCACATAAGGCTAAATCTGAAAAGGGATTCAGTTTTGTTGGGTTCGAGATGGTAAAATATTCCTGAGAAAAGATGAATCGTCCAAAATAATACGTGTGAAATCATCGCAAGACCTTAATATTCCATTCAACTGAAGAAACATTTTTATCTGTGCCTGACTGCTTAAAAATTGAGAATTTGGATGATTTAAATTTTTTTATTGCCTCAACCTGTAAGTTAAACATTAATATTTTACATATAAATATTAGAAGTTTAAGAGCCAACTTTGATAATTTTATTTCACATATTTCTAGCATGTTCGAAAATATAAGTGTTATAATTATGTCGGAAATTTGGATTTACCAAACTGAAACTAATTTTTACTCAATAGATGGTTATAATTCATTCTTTAATTGCAGAAATAATAATCGCTCTGGAGGTGTTTGTGTTTTTATTAAAAGATGTCTTGATATTTCAGAGTTAGCTATACATTTTGTTTCCGCAGTATCTATATTACTTTACTGCAAATATTTAGATTTATTATTTCTATCTTTATGTAGATCTCATGATTTTAGTGTTGATTTTGTTAATACTGAACTTAAGGTAATAATTTCTAAGCTTAAATATCCTAATATAATACTGATGGGTGATATAAACATCGATATTCTAAGTGATGATTTTATTACTCATGAATATATTAATTTATTATACCAATTTGGATTTCAAAATTACATAGACAAACCAACTAGAGTAAATTCCTCGTCAACTTGCATTGATCATGTCTTCGTAAAAACAAATAAATTTTCAGTCAAATCCGGAATATTCATAAATGACATAAGCGATTACTATCAAACCTTTTGCAGTGTTTATAACGATGAGGTAAGTAAAATTAAGGAAACTGAAAATAAAATTTCAATCAACTATAATAAGCTCTATAATTATCTGTCAATTACAAATTTAATTACAATCCTCAAGATTCTCTTGATCAACAATATCAAAGTTTTGTTTTCAAACTTAATAATTTAAAAAATAATTTTAAATATAAGCATAAATCAAACAAAAGAGCCAAAAATAACTGGATGACTAGTATTATCTTGATTTTGATTCGAAGAAAGGAAAAACTATTAAGAAAAACTGGAAAATATCCATGGGATATTATTTACAAAACAGCATGCAAAACTATAGTTTCTGAGCTTAAGAACTTAATTAAAACAGCAGAATTAGAATATTTCAAAATCAAATTTTTAAATTGTGATTCAAATAAACAAAAATGGGATCTTGTAAATAGTATTATAGGTAATCAGAGCAAATCACCTACTTTACCTGATATTTTAAACGACAATGAATCTTCTGATCAATTCAATAAATCATTTGCAAATGCTAACAGTACCTCAAACTCAAATTCAAACAGTTTTAAAATATATATTTCACCAAGTTTAACCTCGTTTGTTTTCCTAGAATTGAATGATTGTGATGTACTTTACTTAATAAATTCTTTTTCTAATAAAAACTCTTTTGACTATGATGGTATTAATGTAAAATTAATTAAACTATTTGCTCTCAATAATATAAATTTTATAACTAATTACATCAATACCTCAATCAAGTCATCCATTTTACCAATTTCTTTAAAAACAGCAACCATAACTCCTATTTTTAAAACCCGCGATAAAAATTTCTTATCAAACTATAGATCAATTTCAATAGTACTACCTGTTTTTTCCAAAATCATTGAAAAAGCTCTAGCTGATAAAATGTACAAGTATTTAAAACATAAATTTTTTTTCTCTGAAAATCAACATGGCTTAGTTTTTTATATCAGGAGTAATTGCGACACAAAGTAAAAAAAAAAACCTGAAAATTTTATGTGCAAAAACTCGATAACAAGATATCAATTTATATGCTATTTATATTTAATAAAATGTTTTGAACTAAGATTTATAATTAAATTACCTACCAATTAAAGGTAAAAGTACAGAAAAAGCTCTTTTGGAATTTTCGAAATTTATTCATAATAGTATTGCTGAAAATATGATAACAGTAGCTATATTTCTTGATATATCAAAAGCTTTCGATAATGTCAATCACAATCTATTAATCAAAAAATTAGAATTTGCTGGTTTCAGAGGAATTATTTTAAATTGGTTTATTTCCTATCTTTCAAACAGAGAACATATAGAGTTAAAATCCGAAGTAATATTAGTAATTATATTTTTTTAAACCATGGTGTTCCTCAAGGATCTATTCTAGGACCCCTATTGTTTATTATATTCTACTTTTGTCAACTCAAACTTTTTGGTAAGATAATAACATATGCTGATGATTCCGTAATTTTGCATTCTTGCACTGATTTAAATCAACTAATTTTTCAAATTGAATCTGATTATAGTAAATGACTTAAATTTAAATCTAAATAAAACTAAATATATTTATTTCTGTTTAAGAAAATCAGAATTTAACTTAAATTTAAAATTTTACTCTCTCTCCTGTAAAAGTACTAATGAAAATTGTCAATGCTATATTCGACAATTTGTAAAGAATATCAAATATTTAGGACTTTATATCGATTCTAATTTGAAGTGGAAAACACATATTAACAATTTAGTTAAAAAATTGCACTATGTTTTAGTTAAATTTTATCATCTTAAGAATAAAATTCATTTTAATTTTGCGTAAACACTCTATTACTCCTGGTTTTATTCTTTTATTATTATGGTGCAATAATATATGGCGGTGAATATAAAACTAATTTACTTCCTTTAATCTCAGCTCAGAATAAATGCTTCAAGATTGTTAATTCTCTAAATATAAATAATTCAAGTATAACTACTACCAATATATATACAAGAATCAACCTATTACCATTTCGCCATAATGTATTTTTTCGTATTTTACTTTAATTACGCAACAATAAATTAATATGCAAATTAAAAACTAATGTGTCTGAAAGGAAACCAACTGAAATATATGTGATTCCTCACTTTATAAAAGAAATTTCACGAAAACAGTTTTTTTACTTAGCACCTAAATTACATAATAAATTGCCATTCCAGTTGCAAAACATCCAAATATATTCTTCTTTTAAGCGTGCTTTATTTCAGTTTGTGATGAACATGGACGATTTAGATCTCTATTTTTTACTTTAAAGGAAGCATTTGATTTCTTATACCAGTCTTGTGCCAATCCAAATGAATTTCTTATGTTACCTTTGTTATCTTTTTTATATAGTTTCATGTATTTTTTTTTCCATTATTACAGTGTTCAACAATATATGATGTCTTATGATGAGCAAAATAATTTATGATTGTAATATCCCCCCCTTTTATTTCTTTAAATTTAGATTTAATAAGACTAATTTAGATTTATTGTATTACTTTTCTTTGTCGTCTGGACAGGATTTTCCTCTTGACGACGAATATATATTCTTTGTATTTATGTGTTTATTTTTGTTTCCAATAAAGTTATATTAGTTTGTTAAAAAAAAAGTCCAATTTTATTAAAATGTACAGATTTGTATATTGATGAGTAGTGAATACAAAAATAATTTAACATCTTTTTGTTCCATGATAATGTAATTGCTTAAAATACATTTGAACATGTTTTTCAAGAGATGAATAACTGTATAATATAAAATAAGATGTTAATATTTTTTTTAATTTCTAAAATTTATTTCGATGTACTTTCTTTGGCTTTTCTCATTGTTTCACTATCTTTAGTTTTTCTGTAAACTGTTTGAAGTTCAACTTTTGCCTGAAAGGAGAAAAAGAGTTTTTAAATTACAATATGTACCGTTCGAATTCATTTTTTATTTATTTAAAAACAATAAAATTAAGAAAAAGAAACATATTTTGCATTTTGAGTATTAATAATATTTTTTTTTTCATATCCGTCGTTGAACAGCTGGCCCAATTTCGGGTTTACGACTAATAATATCCAGGCAATGTTCCTTGTAAGTTTTAACCCAATCCAGAAGACAAGGGAACTCCTGGATCAAGTATTGGGAGAAATTAAACTTCGTGGAGGACTTTTGGAGGAAACTAACCTGCTTTTGCGGAGAAGAAAACAACGAAACTCTCTCGGTCAGCCTGACAGCAAGAGGACCAATGATCCGTCTACCACAAAAGATATTTAACGTCAACACCGTGGTCGGTGCGAGCTGGGTACAAAATCGGTGAGTCGCCATGGATCAATATTATATTTTGCACTATTTAGTTTGGGATTTGGCTTGAAACGATTTGATTGTTTTTTTTTAATTTATCAAAGGGTATTTTCCAAGATGGCCGCCGAGAAAAATGAAAAAAAGAGCTTTAATTTGAATAAGATTTTTATTTTAAATTCGTATATTCTATCTTTCTGTGAAGAATTTTACGAAATAAGAACGGAAAAATATTTTTATTTTTTAACTCTTTACGATGTTCCTCTGTTCTGATTTGACTTAAATGTCATCACACAGAAATTTAAAATTTGTGTACCATAATATTTAGTAACAATATTATTTTATGTTTTAAGTTATAATGTAAAGTTATTGTAGCTTGTATTTCAAATGATTCAGTTATTACGTTATTTTAAATAGTATTTTAAAGTATTCGAAGAGCAAAGGAATCCGAAATTTGGAAAACACTTCATTAATTTTGAGAGATTTTTCACCTCTATAAAAATTAAGTCAATAATTCTTCCTTTTTTGCTTATTTTTAGGATCCTAAATAAGGTGGGGAGTAGTTTGTCCAATATTAAAGTTAGATGACAAGAGGTTTCTAAAAAAAATTGTCTTCCAAAAAAAAATTTCCTTTTCCAAAAAAAATTGGCTTTCCTCCATATTGTTACTTTGCGCCGTTTTCTTCTAGATTCATGCTACGAGTTATGCTGGACAAAATTCACGCTAAGAGTTATAAATATCAGTTACAAACTCAAAATAGTAATAAAAATAAATTTTCAATAAAAAAAATGCTGTTATTTCGTGTGTTGAAAGAGCTTTTGAACCCTAGCCATCAGCGTTCTTTTTTGGGGAATTTTTCAAATCCCGATAAAATATTTTTCAATTTGAATTGAACTAGAATTTTTATTGTTATTTTTTTTTTCAATTTACGGATGGTTCTATGCCGATATTTTAGCACGAATTTTTACTAACTTTTTGAAGGTTGCCATATTCCAAGATGTTTAAAAAAATTAATTATTAAGATAATTTTTTTCTAATTTGATGTTAACAGTCTGCCTAGCAATCCATTACTTTCAGTGATACACTACACTGTAAAATATTTTGGTGTATAATGGCTATCATTTTTGGTGTTGAAGGAAACAAAAAGTTTTACAGTACATGTAGTAGCATTTTTTACTTACTTTTTCACTGCTATAGTTTTATTTATTCATTTTTTTAAATGTTTACTGACAATAATATTTTCTGGACATTAAAATTAATTTATGGTTCCATTGCAAAAATATGTTGTTTAATAAAAAAGCACATTTTTAGCAATAATTTTTTCAAGCAATTGCTATTTTGTCAATTTTAAATTTTGCATGAATACTACTGTTCTGTACTTAAAATTGCATTTTGTTTACCTTAACACCAAAAAAGCTAGAAACTACACAACAAAAAAAATTTCCTGTGTAATGATAAGTTTCAGAAACTGTTAAATTTTAGCAATCGTAAAGGTTAAATTTGATAGAAGAATTACATTTAATATGCTAACAATTTTGAGAAAGCTTTGGAATGTATAAAATCATCAGAAAACTGTTCACTAAACATTTTTTTCTTCTGGAAATTTAATTTTTTAATAAAAATAGTATATATTTGTATATGCAGTGTGGATATAATTACAGTTATTCTATTGAGACTAATATAGTGTCAGTTTTGGGTGAATATAGCGAACTTAATATATACGTTATACCGAATGAGACATTTACAATAAAAATCCGATAGATGTCGCTTTTCTTTCAGTTCCATGTCTAAAATTGAGGAAAAGAACTCAAAGAAACTCGACAATTCGAGAATTGAGACAGCTTTCAAATTAAACTTAATTAAAAGAAAGCATAATGTCACGTTGCTGCAACATTTCGAGAAACCGTTTATGATGCGACTCGACTCGATTGATGATGACTGATAAAATTCTCACAAGTCTAAACTTTAATTCAATTTCAATTCTAGCTATTAATAGATGTGCAAGGCATATGCAAGAAACAATGCTTATTATCAACAATAATCAATTTAAATTTATTTTTAAAATGATTTCAATTTCAAAAATGCTTCAAATTTGGTAATCACCCTCGAAATGCATCAATTTTTTCAAAAATGCTCAAATGTGAAATCAAAAATAGAAAGCACATCGAAAATGTGTTATGATTGAATAAAATTTTGCGTCAACAGTTAGTTTTTGTTTCTTAATGCTAGCAATTTTCCAACACGTTGATTGTAATTTAAACTGATTTTTTAAACTATTATTACAGATTTTTTTTCTCCACTAAACCATATAACATATGTACCAAGTTTCATTGACAACAGCCAAATAGAAAGTAAACTCGACTGATTTAATCAGAGTCAACGTAATTATAACCAACCAGCATAATCTATATACCCTGTACATAAATCAAAAAATTTGAGTATTTTCAAAATCGGCAGGACACGAATATCTATTAATAACAAATTGAATAGCAAAAATATGACAAAAAAACAAGAAACATACCGGAAATTTTACTTCTTTTTTCTCTAAAACATCTGGGGATTTGTGAATGAACCACTTTACTGCAGGACTGAGCAATTCAGGTGATACATATTTTGTTTTACCTAAACAGCAAAAAATCTTATTAAGCTTTTAAAATTAAAATTTTATCAAATATACTGTTAAACATAGTGCTCGTAATGTAATACCATTTAAATTTGCCGCTATATTAGTTTGATGCCAAGAGGGACAAGATTATGCTTGTTAAACTTTAATACTCTATGCCAAGGTCAAATTGAATGGAAACGTGGTACAATTTAACACTTTATTAATGTTACTACAAATATTTATTCTATTATATGATTCGAAGTACCAATATTATGGCTCAACTTTGAATCCATTAGAATTATAACCAGTGCCCACCAATAAACTATGCACCGAAGGATTTTCCATGATAACAAATCTAAATGGTCTATTTTTAAACTTTATGAAAAGAAATAGTGGTGGAGAGGAGACGCCTAAGGAAGAAAAAAAAGAAATAAGACAAGTTTCGATTTACTAATACTGAAAGACGAACACCAAATGAATTATTATTATTATTATTATTTTTTTTTGATTTCTGGTCTTTAATGTAACAGCGTTACTCCGTTTAAAAATATCAATAATAGCGGTAGTTTATATTTACTAAAGTGATTCTTATGCAAGCTTGATGGATAGCAATAAATTAAAAATCTATTAGGATCGTTGCATTTCAAAATCGATGTGTGGTGAAAAATATGATTATTTTTATCAGTGAAATCTTGTGAGTTATGTTAGTTAAACTTTATGTTAGGGAATGTTAGTTAAACTTTATTTTAATTTACTTTCTTGAATGGACATGCTGATTGATATTATTATCATAATTAAGTGGAATTACTTTTTGGAATAAAAGTGTTACTAAATCTAATCTCCAGTTTTAAATGTTTTGAATGAAATTTTTATAAGAAATAAATATTACCAGTGTTAATATTTATCTGGCAAATAGTATTGATGTTTTAAAATGGTAATTATATTGATGATTAATGATTTTATTTATTTTGATGTGTACGTCTGTTCAAATAATAATAAATGGTTCAATTATTTCATGATTATCAAAGTAGTTCATGTTTAAATAGCAGAAACAATTATGGATTTTGATAGGATATTAAATTTTTTCTCATCCATGATGTTTCAATTAATATTTTTTATATGTATTGAGCTTATTCACATTGTTTAACAGATTTGATTATTATTACAATTATTAATAATTTTATTACGATTATTGATTTTTTACTTTCTTGGAATTTTTATTTTCTATTTTGATTCAATATAATCATTTAGTATAAAAATTATTAGAAGGAATTATCTATTTTATTGGTTTATTTAAAGAGATTTAAAAAAGTTAAAAGATTTTAAAAAATCAAAATATATGAAATTTTAAATCCTAATTGAATATTGTCCTGGGAATAAAATAGTCTTCTAGAAGCATTGACAAATTTTATTTGTCTATCTTTGGAGCTAAGCAATTAATCTATGCTAGCTGAGAGAAATTGAGAAGGTTAGTACAATAATAAGGTACCAAAGATTTTCTGCATTTTAATATATTATTGACTGAGTACAATATAGTTTGTTTCTTTGTTTAATGCAAGATCCAAGCAAGAATATAAAACTTCTACCTGCTGTGGAAAATGATTCTGGGAAAAAGTTATGTAAAACTAATGACATTTTAAATCCCATTTCGCCCTCATTAACATTTTTGTGAATGTGAGCATACCTCGTTACTGCACCAAGCCCCTCTGTTGTAGATCATAAAATATTTATAATTATACTTGCCATTAATGATGTTTATAATGATGCTTGAAAAGTATCCAACGATATAAGTAAGAACGAAACCTATTCCAGCAGTCCACATGAACGAAATTCTATACAACGGAAATATATACCTGTAAAGAAAATCAGACAAGAAAGAATTTTTTAATGTAAAATGGAAATTTTATTTCTTTCATCCATCAGTAATTTTCTTTTTAAAGTAATATGTGTTTAAAATACCAAACACAATTAGACGATTATGAAAAGAAGAAAAAACTTTTTTAAAACTCTTAAGTTTAAAAATGCTATGTATATTTTAAAAGAAACTTAGAGTATTCAGATTTAATTTATGACTTACTCGGAAGAAATTATCATCTATGATATAACGCAGACGAAAGGGAAAATTCTTTAAAACTTGCTGAAATATCGATACATTGGTTCTTTTTAAACTCTTATATGACCTTTGTGTTATTTGTGTGAATTTTCTCTTTGATATTGTCTTAATCCTTTTAGCCCTACTGGGACTTATGTATCCAACAGATGAAAGAACCACTGGGGCATATATGTCCTGTCTAAAAACTCGTTGAGACCTATATGTCCACGGTCCCATTTCCAATTGCCCAAATATTTATTTTTTTATTTAATTTTGAAAGATTATTATTATTTTTGCCTTATTTGATTTGTTAAAGTAGAAATTCGTCTTTTTATTGGAAAAGAAAAAACTGATCTTGATAGGGTTACAAAATGATTAGGTTCACAAGTACCTATTAGCGTTTATCAGGCTATTAATGCTTAAATAACAGTCCTTGACGATGGATAAGTGCCCAGAACCAATAAGAATAATTTTACATTTTCTTCGAACGATGAAGAACAAGGAAGTGAGAAAAAAAGCTCTACCTATCTTGAATTTAGCAATCTTTTAACAAAATCTTGACTTCAAATCAAAAGTTATCAAGATTTTTTTCATATATTTGAATAAATTCGCCTCATTCTATACAATAATAATAGCCAGTACAGAAATTTAATTTCCTTTGATGTTGTTTCATGTAAGAGCATTTACATTACAAAAATACCTTAAATCGGAAAAGGTATTCTAAGGTAGGTAAATATCTCGCAAGAGTTTGCTATGAGTGTGATTCATCAAGATTTTAATGCACAAGTGCGCACACATGAGCAGACCTAGTGCGTTCTCCAGAAGTGGTATCCACTCTTTCAGGACCACCACAATGGGTGAGATACCGTTGGCCATGTTAATTTGGACGTCTAGTTTCTGCCACACAAGATGGCAGCACCGAGACTCTTATTTGGAAACTAAAGTGCACGAGGAATTTTAATTTTGCCGGAAATGCCAATAGCCAATAAGGCACTCCAGGGATTTCTTACATGCCGCATAATCATACGACATGGCCGCTGAAGATTTTCTGCATCCCTAAAATCCGGTGTCTGGGCCGGGTATCGAACCCGCAGATTTGGGCTCGGAAGGCCGACGACAAACCAACTGCGCCGCCCAGCCACCCGATTTTAATGTTTGTTTATATAACTTATTGCACACTCTTTATTTTTTATTAAAAAAATATCCGATCATACACTGAGAAAAAGTGCGGTTAAAACTACGAGAATATGGTTAAATTAACAGAATTTCCGGCTCTAAGGGAACTTCAAAACGCTCGTTGTTTTTTACTGAAGTGCTTCGGTAGCTATTTTGATTCAATTAACAATAAAATATGGTTTTATAATCAGTGTTAAATTTGGTTATTTTATCATGATACCTTTCAGTATGGCATAAAAACCGTTTATTCAAATAAATTTAATTTAGAGTTTCGTGTTTTTTACAAAATTTGTGGTAATATGAACTTTAGTTTTGAAACCCGAATTTCAGGTAGGCCATTAACATTTGAACGGAAAAATTATCAAATAAGTACTTTAAATATCTTATAGGTTGCTTTATTATCAGAATTATGATTTATTTGGCCAAGCATGCCAAGCATTTACTATGAAGTACGATATAATTGAAATATTTTTTTTCCTGTGTATATTGACAAAATACTCATTCTCTCTCTTCTAGTTACATTACGTGGAACTTACGTGCACTACGTGATAAGTTGGAACTAGTTGCATTACATGGATCTATTTGGTGCGATAAAATTCTGGTTACAGTGCGTAGATAAATAAATTGAAAATTATAGCAAAATAGAGTATTTTAACGATAAGAGTACTACTATGTAATGGAGTGTCTGTAATAATGAACAATTATAATGAAATATTTTCATTTATGACTTACTCAGGATTATCATTTTCCACTTTTACATCTGTTTCATTTTCAAAACTATGAATATGATTCAAATGGTTGCTGCTACTATCAGCGTATTCTGTTGCATTCAGAAAATTGATCATTACGGAAGAATTAACTTTAGGGCAGCCTTCTATGGAAACTGGAAGTGCATCTGGTTTGGTGGCGTGAGCAACAATACCGAATCCTATCCATGCTGAAATTCCGATTCCAATCAAAAAACCAATAATAACACCCTATTACAATAAAAATGAGACGTTTATTTCAAAGAGTAAAGGTAAGAAAAAATTGCATTTTTAAAAATTATTATTTTATAAGGCAAATTTTGTGAAGAAAGAGAAACTTACGGTCAGAAAAGTATTTTTGTTTTTAATTTTTGAAAGAATTGGAGAGATTACTCTTTTCGACACAAATGAGACACCAGTGTCTCTTTTATGTATTTTTTCTGGACTATAATTACAAACAAAGACATATTTTGGTATTTTTCAATTAAGAAAAAAATTAATCTATATCAAAAAAATAGTATTATAATAATAATCACATAATATTAATATAATAATAAAAATATAAAAATTTTATTTATAGTCAAAACTTACTCTCCTTACAAAAATTCTCTTTTTCCCTAGGTGTGGAGTTTTGATATTCAAAATTTCGTTGTTAGTCGTATTTGCGAATTTGAAATTTTTATAGTGTATCCCTACTTGTGTAGTCAGAAGAGCCGTCAAAAATTAAGTTTTTAATTGTGCTTTTAATTTTCATTTTTTCGTCTTATTATCGGACATATTACAGAAATAATTGCTTACAATGACTTTCTCTTTTCGAGTTTAATTAATTCTTATGGATTATGAAATACACCGAAGATTTATCTGAACAATTAGTGAATTTATCATCTTTCTCGTTTTCTTGAAAAACAGGAAAACTACTCAATAATTACAAAGGAGTAAGTAACAAAAAAAAATATATTATAACATGAGATATGTAGGACAAAATGCTACTACAGCTACAACTACTACTACATTCAAAAAGCGTAGATATCTCTTTTTAACAATATCTTTTCACAGTTGCGGTTACAATTTAATTGACAATAAACGCTGCCATCTATCGGTGGTTCAACATGTATTTCTACAATGACAAAACACTTGGTTACTCAAAAATAATTTCATTCATTTTTTTTCTTCATAATTATATTATATTTAATTTGATAATTATTGAAGGCGCTATAGATTATAAACAAAGTCTCATATCTTCTTTAAAAAATTTAGGCAGAAAACTAGTAAAACTGAATTCTTCTTCATCGTCTTTTTTTTTTTCTGAAATTTTTTAACCGGTTTGACTTCAAATATTGGATTTCATTGTAAATATCAAAAATACAGAAAAAAAATTTACACTATAATTAATTAAGACATTTTAGAAACTTTTAGATTAAAACAGGAAACTTTAATTTACTTTTTCATTACTTCGAGTAGTAAACATGCCCAAGAGAAACACCCCCAGTACAGGTCCTCCAAGACATCCAAATATTGTGACGCTAAGTAGTACCAAACTTCCAAATGAGGCAAACACAAACGTTAAAGCGATGCAGAGAAAACCATAGAAAAATGCTAAAATAAAGTTAAATAGTTATTTTAGTTAATATTTTGCTTTCAAAATCACAACTTTTAAAGTTGACTCCAAAAGAAAAGGTTTTACAGAAACGTATAATTTAAATTTCTAAAAGTTCTCATAACATGTTGAAGTGTAATGCGAAATTCACACTTGAAAAAATTTCAAATTTTTTCAAATTAAGCTTTGATTTCTTAGAAAGTTATTTTAATAAATTTTTCTATGTATATTAAAGAAAATGTCAGTGACTTAGTTAAAGTTATGCCACTCAAGTTAGATATTTATTACCTTTCACAATAAATTTTTTGGAGTTTTTACCAGATTGCATATTCATTAATTAAAATTAAACATTGAATGTCTATGCTCTAAATCATAGATGCATAAAAAAGAAAAAAACATTTACCTGTTTCGTTGTAAAGGGTGAAATAGGTGTTCAACTTATAGATCAACTAAAACCTTAAAGATTTGCTTGAAAAAGGACTTAAACATAGTAAAAAAAATTAGAAAACAAATATGTAATGCTTGGCAGCTTGACATTTTTGAAAAGGCCTCTGCTATCGAACCATTCATAAAGAAAGAATTATGGGTGTCCATGTGAATTGAAGGTGCGTTAATTGACGGAAATATCTCTTAAAGAACAATTTGGTTGAAAATTGAATTAACCATATCTTATTAGGAGTTTTTTTCGGTTCATTTTATTTTTTCTTTCCTTCTACTAAATATCATATGTTGGAGGCATAGATAAAACAATGCTATCTGCTTTTTCAAGCAATTTTCAAATGTCATATTCTTTTACTTGTTAAATTTGATGACATGCCATTTTTTTAAAGCAAACAAGAGGTCTTAAGTTGTGGAATAAAGTGAGAGAGCAAGAGTAAGATTTTAATATTGCTTGCTCTCAAATTACACTGTTGTATGATTTCTGCTTATTTTTCTATTTATAAAAAAATCCTAAAACGTCACTTTTTTGTATAATTGCCCACTAAGTATCAGCCCTGGCTCATCCCGAACTTTCAGATGAAAGCTTTCCGACAACATAATCCAGTTTCGGTTAAATCCGGTTTCTCTCAAATGGCAGTTGGAGTGAGGCAAAAAATCTCGGTGCAATTTTGCAAAACGTGCTCATGTTGACGTGCATAGTGCAGATGTTGACGAAATAGAAACTTTGAATATTTCCTCACTAATGACTTTCTTGCACCACAAGAAAGAATTGGAATCAAATGATTCGCTTGAATAAAAAGTCGTCTCTCAATTTTATCAAGTTAATCATATTTATAACAAATAATATTCGTTTAAAAAATTTCTCAGCCCCCATTTGCTCTTTATCAGACGATACAAAATACACTATATTCGTGACGCATTAAAACAATAATAAAAAAAAATGCTGAAAATATTTCAGTTGTAGTTCATTTACGTCGCACGAACAATGGGCTATTGGCGACGGTCTGGGAAACATCCCTGAGGATGATCCAAAGACATGCCATCACAATTTTGATCCTCTCCAGAAGGAATGGCACCCCTGCTTCGGTAGCTTGACGACTTGCACGCGAAGTCGAGCACTTTACTGTAGAACAGTTTAATGAAGACCAATACCGCACACCCTCGGTCCCCACGCAAACTGATCCAAGTGGTCACCCACCAGCACACTGACTGCAGCCAGTGATGCTTGACTTCGGTGATCTGTTGGGAACCGTGTCTTAACGATCAGTCCACAGTGCAAAAAATATCTTAATCCTATACATTTTTAAATCTATATCACAATTTTTTTTTAAAAACAGTCGTGCTAACAAAAACACATCTTCATGAGACATTTATATTAAAGCAGCACATTTTATTATTCAATACTATTATTTATTTATTTTTGCAATTAGCAAAAGGTTTCTTAGTGTTCTGCGAAAACTACGTTAAATGTAAAATAAAGAAAATAAAAATTTCAACGCATTTTACTTACTTATTATTTGAGCTATTATTGATAGTTTTATTTCCGATAAGCCCTTAGATAACAGAAAAGGCCGTATCAAATCCTGCATTGTTACTGCCGTAAGGGAATTCACACAAGAAGATACAGTGCTTAAAGAAGCACTAAATATTCCACAAATACATATACCAGCCAATCCAGGATAGTTTGTAAGACTAATCATCATGAAATAAGGCAATAACTGAAAATATTAAACCATTACAAAAAATTTTGAATCAGCTATTTAATTAATTACTGATATTGTTGAACAATAGGCAGCAGTCAATAAATATCAAGCTTAACTGTTTTCGAATTGCGAATGTTTTTAAAAATATTGTTATAGACAATTTTCAAATGAAGCAAAAAATCACTAGAATTTTTAAAAATACCGATCACATAATTATTATTGTGTATTATTATTCTTACAAACAGGACTTACTTATAGCCTCAAATTTTTGAGCCGTTTTAATTTCACAAAAAAAAGAAGTTATTTTTGCTTTTTAAAATATTTTAAAATATGTAATTGATAAAATAATTAAATTTAGCAAAAGGTTTCATACAAGATTGAAAGTTATCGAGTAATGTAACTGTAATGCATCCATGTAGAAAAAAATAATGTCTAATATATTCAAGCAATTCAATGGAATAAGAAGCAAAAGACGATTAACTCACTGTAATTTTCATAACATATAAAAAAATATATTTAACAAGGAATTATGCTTTTCTGATTAAAAATATTTTATCATTATTGATTTTATATTATTTCATACTCATTTTTAAGCAAGCAGTACAAACATTCTTATGAATTGATTACAAAGTAATGACTGAATACATTAGCAAGGACAGCTTGCTCTTTTCTTTTGTCGTCACAATTTCTTTTTATTCATTTTGTATTATTTTAAACTGTTTTATTGTTTACAAATTCAGAAATATTTGTTTCGAGTAAGACCGCACAAATATCCCATTTTTCAAATTTTGGCCGTGGTGGCACAAGGGATAAAGCGTTCGCCTTACATTGAGGTGAACCTGGTTCGTATCCTAGCAATGTCTGGTCGGTACGAATTCTGTACCCAACTCGCCCTACTGCAGTGCTAACTTAAAATATCCTTAATGGTAGCAAATCATGTGTTAAATTCCCCATGCGGTCAGACTAACCATGTTAGGAGTTCGTGGTTTTCCTTCACATGTAACGCAAGTGCGGGTTGATTCCATTAAAAATACCACTATTAGGACAAAAATCTCCCAATTTCTGGATTGGGTTCAAAGATACAAGGCTACGGTGTTGAACATTAGTAGTTGTCGAATCAAAATCGGGTTGGCTGTTCAACGACGGTAATAAAATAAAATAAAATGCTGTCCTCTTGAACAAAAATTTTAAAACCTTAAGAGCGTGATTTTGTCCTTGCGCGCATGTGAAGTTTATTTTATTGATAAACAAATTCTTCAAGTAATCAATAGCAATTATCAGCTATCTTGTTTATTGAGGCATGTATCAAGCTCAGCAAATCTATTGTTGCCTATCTATCTCTGTAAAGACAAGCGTTCTCCCTGCAGACTGTTGTGAGCCTCAGGACCATGGAGGTTAAAACTTCACAATTCGTGACCAACGAAATGACTACATTAACGTAGAATAATCAGCTTAAGCCCGAAAGATGGTTGGTCAATTTCCTGAAGATGAAGTTTCGTATTGCACAATCTGTATTTGGTACATCTCAGCTTATCAGATTAAAATAAGTACTATCTACTATACAGAAGGTACTGCACTATTTTTTTAGGATAGAGAGTTTTATATTACTTTAATAGAGAATGAAACATACTTTCGATATCCTATAGACGCTTTAGATCTTTCAGAGACGTCCATATGAATATTTGTATATATGTTTAGTAATAAAAAACAAGTTTTTACAAAAATGTTACAAAATGTTTTTTTGCTGCAACGTTTTGGAATTATTCTTTTCGTTAATTGCAAATATTTTTGTAACAAATATAACAAGAGTTTTATGAGAAATATTTCTGGAATAATCTGCACTACATGGGATGTTTATCACCCACTTATATTATCAATAGTTACCTAATCTCTCACTCCTTTGCAATATTAACTTTAGGTATATTTTAACAACAAAACTTCGCAGAAATGTAAGGTAAATATTCGTTTTAATATTTTTCTTACTTGGTCTCCTTTGTAAATTGGATTGTTTGGTGGTGACAATGGATCACATTTTGAAAAATAAGCATACAGTACTACACCCACGAAGCAAATCAACAAGTATAAAGCAATTGATATTGGAATGCTCAAATATAAAGCCCTAAAAAGTAAAGAAAAACTCCTTGAGATAAGAATCGATATTGCATACAGATAACCTAAATGAAAATTGAAAATGTATGACAGCATCAAAAATATAGCAGATATAGCATCACTTTCATACGGGATTATAAAAAAAGGAGAAGTGCATAAGATATTACATATAACTAACTGAGTAGATGTGAGAACATATGAAATGAATGTAAAGTCGTTTTAAAGATGGATGTGCCAAAAATAGAACAATGCATTGTTTTAAGAATCTAAATGGTAGAAGGGGAGCGTAATCTGATATTTTTTATAAAATGATGGTACTTTATGGTGAATAGTGGGTAGACGGCTCTTTATGATGGATATAGGGCGAATGGCTGTTAACAAAAGGTGTAAAAGTTTTCGTTAAGTGAGGGCATTGATTTCGGATTTGTTAAGACCCAGAGTAATCAAACACCCTAATTTCGAATGATTTCATTGCTAATGTTGTTGAAATTGCTAGTTAATCGACTAGACAACTAGTGGCATTTGCGTAACACTCGCCAATATTTGTCATATTTTTGTAACACTTTATTTAAGTAACGAAAGAATACCACCACAACTGCTTGTAAAATGTTGCATATTGTTTTCTTTTAGACGTTGTTTTCTTCTTTAAGTGTACTCGAGTGAACTGGTTTATTAGCAACGGTTATCTGCTATTCATTCTTTTTACCATAATTTATTATCCTTAACGGTTGCAATGCCATTGCTTCTGCATTTCAGACACTATCAATCGTGTCAACTTTTTTATTTCCCGTAATCATTTTTAATCTAATTTATGCAGCTACTCGATTCCTAAATTCTTTATATGGAGAAAAAATTGATATTACTAGTACGTTAATAATGTTCAATATTTCCAACTTTATAACGCAATGAATAAATCAAAAACACAGAAATATTTATCTGATTTTTTTCTATTATAAGTATCTCCAGAAGACATGTTGTTTTATTAACTTATCAAGAATAAAAAAGATTGTACTATCAAAATCCAAAATATTGTTTTGATACCTGGGAAAATGTTAAAACTAATTCCGAGAACATGTTTTTTAAAGAAGATTAAACCATTAAAACATTAATGTTTCGATTATAAACAATATAGATAACATTTTTGGTTAATATATCAAGAAAATGTGTAACGTTTAGAAGCAAAAGGATCAGTTTAATGTGAGTATAATTTTCTCCCTTTTTACTACGAAAAAAATAATCTCGTTGTTGATAAACATCCAGATGGTGATAGACAAGCTGGAATCGGTCACAAATTATTCTTTATATTGAACCATTGATAAAACAAGATTTGCCATTGAATTCGGAAGAAAAAAATCATAAGCGATGACAAATAAAAAATATCAATCATTCGGTCCTCAAAATCCTTCGTTTCTTGTCTTTCTTCAGGCAGTAAAATAAAATTCCCAATTATGAATGAATTGTAAATACAGTAGAATCTCGATAACCCTTAATAGGACTTTTTTTTCTTTACATGCACACTTTTTTATTGCTATATTTTCACCTATTTTGATCTTTCGTTTGACTCAGCAATATAATAATATAAAGCAAAAAACTCTTTTTCTCTTAAATGTAAATAATTTTTAATGCATTGCGCTAAAACCAACATAATAATGAAAAGCAAAAAGGAAAAAATTCTTTTCGTCGTCAAGAGAAAAAACACAAAGTAGCCATCTTGAGAACTTACCACCTAGAACGCTTAATGTTCTTTAGTGTCAGCAGCCTTTGCACTTGCACTTGATTTGCACTGAATCCTGAGATAGCCATGATAACACCTTGAGCTAGAATATTCCATGCAGTATATCGTTTATAGAAACTTAGTTCAAACCTGAAATAAAGACTAAGTATTTTCAATTCTTTTTAATACGTTTAATTAAATGTTTTTCAATTAGGAAGTTATATTTGATTGATAATTACATTTTAAATTAATAAAAAGTCAGTTCTTAGGTAATTAAATACTGAAATAATTAATATCAAGTTTGAAAATATTTTGAACGTTTTGGTTAAGACCCAACATAGATATTAAAATTTGCTCCTTTCTAAGGAGAGTTCTTTACATCATCATGAACTAATTGTAGGAAGAGAAAATTTTAGCTCTCACAATTTAAAAACTATCAGTTCTATTAATGTGATTATAGTCTTCTTCAATGTAGAATAAAACATATATTTAAAAAAAAAAAACTTTTCTAAATAGCCAGCAATCTCTGAAGTGTAAATTGTTCGAGGGTCAAATATAAAACTCTAATAATTTCTACACTATTTGACCTATCTATTTAACTTTAATTATATTCGATTAATATCTAAAAAGAATACACAGAGAACTAATGCCGAAATTGCAACGTTGAAGTTTATCCTTTTTATGACTTTGCAGTAAATTAAATTTAGTAAATGAAGCTCACCTTTGTTTGGGGGAGCAAACTTCAGATCTTTATAATGGACAGAATTCCTTTAATTATTCCAATATTTCTTTACTTATGACGTTGGAATTAGCCCACAAATAATGTCAAAAATACTCTTTCACTATTTTCTTTTTTTCCTCTTTTTTAAGTATTATTATTAAATAACTGAGAGAAATTTTGGTGCCTTCGATTCAACCGAAAAAAGATGTTTTTGGTGGTGATTTCTACAAATTATGTGTGATGCGAATACATAGAGAATTTCTTGATTTATTTACATATTAAGCTTCTTTTCTCTCAAAAAATGGTCCACGAAGTTGTATAAAAAATCTTCGCAGTTTTTCGTTTTTTTGGAAATATTATTACTAATAATTGCTGAAATTTTTGTTATTTTCAATACGACTGAACCAAGTTGTTTCTCATTGATGCTTGTTGCAAATTTTTTAAGGTAAAATATATGAACATAAAGTATTTCTTATTTTTATAATTTTTCACTTTCATTGTTCTTTATGGTATAAAATATGAACATGAAGTGTTCCTTAATTTTAAAACTTTTTTTATTTCATTATTCGGGTTTTTTTAACAACAGTAACACGATTTTTATTTTATCGTAAATCATCCTTAACTGGATTTTATTACACAAAGTATTGCTTCATAATGCTTAAGGACGTATTATATTTTGCTGACCCTTTTTTATATTTTTGTACATATTGATACAAATTATTTATTTTCATTTAAATTTCATCATATTATTGAAATTTATTTCTTTACAGACATAAAATAAATAACATGAATGAGTTTTTTGCCTTTAAAAAAATTTTCCCCGACAAAAATAGTTTTTTTAATTTTAAACTGGAAACTTTTAGATCCAGGAGCAAAAACACTAGTGTTGATTAACAATTTCAAGAAAAAAATTAATTTGATAAAAATTTAAAAACAAATAATGTGTAGTTAATTTGCAGTATCGAAAAAAATTATATTATAAATATCTATTACTAGCTGTTGCGAGTAGCACAGCTCTAGATGATTTTAACCATTTTTAAGAGATGATTGTGATATTGCCAAAACTCTTTCTGTATTGAGTCTTAATAATAATTTTAAAAACTATCCGGAAACCACTAAATCACACAAACCACCCTAAGTATATGTTCGAGACATTTCAACTTAGTAGGCAGCACAAGTTCTAAAATTATTTTCATCCCTGTCTTGAAATGAAATAGAAAACGCATCCCAATGCTCCTCTGCGACGTGTTCTACTTTCTCACACTTCTCTCGAGCCATAACATAAGTATCGTATATTATATTTATGCCATTGCTCAAAAAAGGCAAGCTCGGTCACTAATAACTGGTATGACAGTATGCAGCTCCATAGCTCCTGTTTAAAATTTCTACAGCTGTTTTTGATAAGAACAAAAATGAATCTGAGTAAATACTTCGCATCTAAGTTTTTGTTTCTAAATAAATACAAATATATACTTAATAAATAATTAACTTACAACTAACTCTTCAACACTACTTAAACTATCATTTAAGCCTACCTAAAAGAATAAATCTGAATAAAATCTTAACGCAAAATCAATTACTTATCACTACTTAAATTATTACTTAAGACAGCCTAACGAAATTACATAATCGGTGGTTTTTCTAACAACCTTTCAAAAAATCCTTCCTTATTAAAAATCCTTCTTATATCATAAAATATACCCTTAGTACAAAATTCATGTTTCTAGCTTCAGCTGTTTAAGGTTTTGCAATACTGAATCATCCAATCAGTCAGAATAAATGCCTTTTTAAGCAAGAGAGATCTAATAAACAGCTATCATACTGAATATTCAAAATGATAGAACATTTTAATACCATGATCATATTTTTATAAACTATAAAACCGCAACAAAGCTAGGAGGTTAAGGATTTTACTATTTTCTTTTAACTCTACAACTATTAATATGATTTGTAACATAACATTGTTACATAATTATTTGGTATACTCAATAAGTATTGAATTAGAGTCCCGATTTTTATCCCCAGTGATGACAAAGAAGTCATTCATTTATACTCCTTTTATACTACGCATCATAACATTCTCTAAACACTATTTCGCCAAATTGAAACTAAAAAAAAATAATGAAAAAAAAATAAAAGAAACAGAACAAAATTATTTTGTCTTCGTATAAAAATACATACGATGGAGCTGCTAATCTTCCGCCATCTTTAGCTATTTGAAACGCATCTTCGATTCCGACATCAATGGAACCTTTAATTAACACCGCAATTACTCCAAAGAACATGAGAAAACTTTGGAACACATCTGTCCACAAGACAGCCTTCATTCCACCCTGAAAAAGATATAAGCAAATTAAGTAAATAAAGACAACATTAACATGATCTAACATTATGAAATACTCTAGTTCAAATGATTAAATATTAGATACATAAAATCAGTTTAGAAAAAAGAGCAATTCCTATCAATAATATTTTGTTGACCTAAGTAATGTTCGAAGCAAACTGAGTTGATCTAAATGTCTTCTTAACTAAGTCCCTGGTGCTGTTTTTACCACTCCATCAATAGACTAACATGCTATTTAGGTTGTAAGATTATTAAGGTTTAAGGGAGAATAAAATGTCGCATTAAGGTTTTAAGTGACTATAGAATAGCTCAATGTTAAGCCTAAATAATATTGCTATTTTAACTAATAAAAAACTATGCATAGCGAAAAAATAATATTTTTTATTGTTATTTTCTCAACTGATTTCGATGCTGCTTGACTTGATGTCCTTAATTTATCCTTCGATTATAATTTATTACTTATTTTATCATTTGAACTATTATTTTGAATTCTTTATAACAGTTATTAGCTCTTGATTTGAAAAATGCAAAAAGCTAAGTTTCTTGAAGTTAAATGAAAACTAAATATAGTGATATTTTTTTGGATATGTTAGTGAAATATAAATTAAAATTGATTTTTGAAAGAATTGTTAAGCATACAATTTATGTTCGTAGAAAAAAACAAATGGAGAAATTAAATAAATAAACTCTCACAACTAAACAAAACATACTTATTTATTTTAACTCTTCTTAAGTGTTTTGTCTAATGATTTTAGGTTCATCACGCTTGGTACGTTAATAGGTATGTAAGCACGTTTGATAAGTATAGACGGTAATTGAGAAACGTTTCATCATGTAAAATCGCTGTAACAAAATCAAATGTAACAAAATGTTTAAAACAAAAGAGTTTCCCTGCCAGCACTTTTAAAACTATATTGAATTATGAATATAAATAACGCTTTGCTATCAACCATTTTGTTAATCATACATGTTTTTTTTTTTCATTTTGTAACATTTTTGCAGAATCATTTAGTTTTTATCGTACATCATTCTAGAATTTTTAATGTCTTAGATTTTAAACTTATTAATAATTATTTGTTTCATATTTTTTTTTAATATGTCTAAGTGTTTGGTGAAAAGATATCTCATGAAATCCGCTGCTTCATGAAACTATGACAATAAAATATTGATTAGATAAGTTGACTGTAGTATATTGACGAGTTAAATAGTTTTACTACACCCAATTTTTACTAAGCAAAATTTATAGCAAATAAAAAAATTATTTTCTGTTTCTTTTAATAACGACATGAGGATACAAATGAAAAATTTTGTCATTCTACAAAATTTGATATTTCTTAATTTATGAAACATACATAAAAATAAGGGAATTATATTTTTAGTTAAAAGACTTCATTGTAGTTAAACATACATTTTGTTTATCGTGAGCAGTAAATTTAAAAATCATTTAAAACTTTCATTTATGTCATATTAACTAATTCTTATAGTATTTAATATCTTACTATAGTGCAGTAAAATGTACAGACAACTCCAACTGAAACTATAGACACCCACATAGACATATTAGTCACAGCACTCAATGCCAATGCCGGAGCATATAGAACAACAGACATAAACAGAATCTAAAGACAAGAATTACATTCATGTTAATATTTTTGTAATTAAATCTTTACTGCTATTGTACAATCTAATGTACAAACAATTATATTGTACAATCTTTAAACAATAGAAACAATATCTTTTGAAAAAGTAGATGATTTTTTTTTCAATGCCCACCTAGGTTGACATTTCCTCAATTGAGGTGTATTAGGGAAGATTTGTGGACCACTCTTTCAGGGGCACCAAATTAGGTGGGCCAACGTTGCTCTCGCAGTAAGGACAGATAGTCCAGAGAAGGAAATGTACTATCTGAGTCCTTATCCCATGCTTTGTCCCAAGTACTGTCCCCTGCCATGCTCGGGATTCGAACCCAGAAACTTTCTGCTGTAAGGCCAGTTTCTTGACCACTAGACAGTCCAGTTGGCTTAAAGAAAATAATTATTGTACATTTATTAATGTTATTTAACTAGCATTCCTTTCAGGTAGAAAAAAAATACAACAAAATAGTAGTTGCTTGACATAACCTGAATGTAAAACGGAGAAAACAATTCTGGCTAAAGTACTGTACTGTATGATACCGTAATGACATTTCTGATGAAAAAAAGCATATTTCTGATTAATAATATGGCCTAAATACATGGTATTTTACCGAATCGTTTGGTTATTTTTCTGTTCATATTATAACGGTTTACCGGAAATTCAAGTTTTCCAAACTCTAGCTCCTATTACCACACAATTAGTAAAAAATGAAAAACTCTCAAGCAAATTTAATAAAAAAATGGTTTTTATGCCATGTTCTGAAGTATCACGCTAAAATTCCCAAAATTTACCGCACTTACAGAATTTCCTCGCACTTTATGAAACCGTATTTTAATGTTAATTTTACCAAAATCACAACCAAGGCACTTCTTTAAAAATTACTGAAATTTTTGATGTTCCCACAGAACCAGAAACACGGTAAAATTTGACATATTCTCGTAGTTTTGATCATACTTTTTTTCTCGGTGTATTATTCAGTCACTAAATTTTGCTGATATTTTTCTTCAATCTGTTATTACTAATAAAAAATAAGAGATATGCCATTCTTATCATAGACGAAAATTTAACTTAAATCTTATGCTAATTTTTTCATGGCCATTAAGTGTCATATGAAGAAGAAAAAATTGAGCACAACATTTTTAAGTCAATATTCCAAAATTTAAGGGAGTGAGATTGTTTAACATAAGCTATGAACATTATAGAATGCGTTTCAGAGAGCATATTTTAATTTTTGTTTTAATAATAACGGTATGCTCTCAGAGTTTTTCCAATTAGATCTGACAAATAATTTTCGACATTTTTATCTATTACAAAAACATAGATTTTGACATTTTAACTTTTGTTATTTTTTAATAAGAAAAAAAATGTAATAGAATTCTTGTAAAAGCCAATTTAGGGTGTGCTATCAGTTTTTTTCTTCTTTTCGTCATTGTGAGAATTATCAACAGAAGAAATTAATGATCAAATTACGGAATAAAATACTGGCACTTTGGGTACGTCATCTTTAAAATGCTATGCCGTAATTTTTACAGTAATATTTACTTAATCAGGGTGATTCGAAGATTTCAAAGTAAATATTATTGTAAAAATTACAGAAATTAGGCTATATCAGATCTTTTGTTCCTTAAGATGTTCCTGTAAAAATGAATTTTACCATAATTTGATTCGGAATCTGTTACAGTTTTTTATATTTTTTTACAGACCAATTAATTTCCAAATAGCCACTTGAACCTTATATTACTCAAACCAAAGTTATTCAATTCATGATTTTCACATTTAAATGGCTAAATCCTTTCTGTTTGAATGTAATTTTATAAGGTAAATAAATAATTATTATGTTATAAGCTTACTTGCCATTTGTATAATAAATGATGTAGATGTTAATGTTCGTGTGAGTTTTCCAAATCTTCTTTCAGCATACTGAAATAAAGGACTTTGTGATGATGTTTTATAAATAATACATATAAATCGGGATAGTTTAACAAACGACATCCATATAGAAAACATATGGTATTTCAGTTTCCTAAAAACTACCTTAAGTACTAAATAAATCAATTAAAGTCACATGAAAAGAGAACAAATAACATCCCATTAACAAACCTACAATAGTTCAGTTGTCAAAAAACAGAATTCATAGACACCGATTAACACTTCATTAAATGTAGTATCCATAAACACTTTATTATATAGAGAACTAGAACTGTTGTATTTCGGTTAAGGAGATTATTTTCTCAAATATAGCCTTTCTTTATTTGGATAGATTTATGACTATTTTAACGGGACAAATTTATAACTCCATAGAAACAATTGAAGACCAAATTTAGATTCCTTTACGCTGATGCATATTTTTAACGATTTAATTTTACTTTATATGCTAATCTAAATCTTTTTGATGAACTTTCCATATCTATACACAATCTGGAAAGTATCAATGTAAGGATTAAATACCATTAATTATGGTGACATTACATCATTGACATTTGTATGAAGTTTTATTCTTCATTTCAGAAGGTAAAGAATGTTTTACTTGTGAAAATTTAATAGAAACGTCGAATTGAATAAGTAAAATCTTCCTCTAAATTTTTGCGAGCAATAAGGAAAAATTTCTGAAAGACCGTTACATATTTTTGATCTCCATGCAAATGAAAACAAAAGCAAAATCTTCTGAGGATTTAATGTAGCAAAAATTATAATCTCATTCATGGCAAAATATTTTAGTATATTCTCCAATAAATAGTAGATTTATGTAAACAGCAACAAGCATATTTATGTAAACAAACAGATTATTTCCCACTTTTATATGATTAGGCGCAAGAATCTTAAGAAAAGTGGAAACAGTAAAGCAGATCTAAGTAAAATCCATTGTATAAGAAAAGAAAAAAAATTCATCTCGAAAGAAAAGTAGTTATCAGAATTTTTTTCAAGTATAAAACACCGTTCATGTTTCCTTTATTTAAAATGAATAAAAAACAACCTTTTTACAGTAATAAATATAAATAGTCATTATTAATTATTATTAACTAACTATGTTAACATAATATGAAAGCTTTACATCTTACCTCATAAATTGTTGAAGCGCCCATTTCAAAATACACTGGAAGAGTAGTATACGCAGATATTGTCATTCCAATGATGTATGATACGCAAACGTAAGCCAACTGTATACCAAAGTAATAAACTTCCATGGGAGTACCAATAATTGTGGTAGCAGACATGAATGAAGCCATGATGGAGAATGCCACTGGGAGAATGGGCATGTCTTTGCCCGCCAGAAGATACTCATCTGTGGTCTTTTGCTTGTTCCCACTGAACCGAAAGTAGACACCAATAGCAGCTGATATTATTAGCATTAAGCTGAACATCGTGTAGTCCCAAATCCCTAAACCTACTTTTACTCCGTCCATTGTTCCAGATGCAAATTGTAAAGTGGGTTGTTATATTTTACAATTGATTGAGAGGTCCTAAAATTAAAAAAATATTTATCATGAGAAATCAATCTTTTATTTTATACAACAGGATATCAGAAACTTATGTGCCCTAATTTATCAAGTTTAAGGCTTTGTTTATTGCAACATCAGTAAATATGATTTTGCTATGAGGCACTACTACAGAAAATGAACTTCCCTATTATTTTTTCTTAACTCTTCCATTATAATAGCATTCAAATTTATTGCAACATTAATGAGGTGTTAGACTGGCCCATGTTTCAGTTCAAGTTGATTCTTAGTTTAAAATAACTCAGTTCCAGAGGAACTAATTTTTCTGATGGTATGGTTAAACTGATTTGAATGATATTATAGTTTACAGCTAGACAAAAGTTTTGATAGAGCAGTGTATACAAAAGCGAAAATGCATAGGTATGTCGACATGCATAGGTATGAAAATGCAATATAGCTTAATTTAATAATATTTATGTTTAAAGGCTAACTATGTGCTTTTTCATTGGAGAGCTTCCTTCCTCACTGGAAAAGGAAAAGATGATGAAAAATAAAATAAAATAAAAACAATGTTTCAGCTAATAATTCAGGAACACTAAATTGAAATGTGTGGAGATGAGTTAAAACTTGAAGTTTAAGCTCATTGTTTAGTATGAGATATTAGAAAAGTGAGCAAGAAAATGAAGGGCAAGACAGTTTGAAATTCATTATAAGAAATATAATATGTTTTCGTATTTGCTGAAGTTTGATTTGGGAATATTAGTTTCTTTGCAAAAGTTTCCTAATTTTTTAATAGGAGTTTCATTTTTTCTTTGTTTTAAACAATACCGAGCTCTTATAGTACTACTCTTATAGTATAGAAAGAAAAATAAAATTAGTTGCATAAAAACTTTTATTCCTGAAAAACAGAAAAGAACCAAATTTCAAAAAGAAAAAAAAAACATATTTTTTTACTGCTAACACCTTTTTTAATTTGATTAAAAATAAAAGCCATCGAAATCAAACATAACTATTATATAAAATTTATATACTCACACTCGCACAAGCTTTGGTCTGCATCAATCTAAAAGTTTCAACCAATAACAAAGACTTGACGGAATTTATTGAAAAGTAGAAAAATGAAGTTAAGAGGGAAGTTCAAACTTTAGCTGTCATCATCTTGAGTTAGTTTCGGTCAATTCACTTATAAATGCTATCTAGTGTCAAAATTGTTACGCTGTTTGTTATGAAATCTTAAGCCTTTGATCACACGTATGATAACGGGAAAAAATAGAGTTGTTTTATTTTTTAATCTTACATAGTAAAAAATATTCTTTAAAATGAAAGGATAATTGTTAATCAGAACTTAATAGCAACTTAGGAAACCTTGGTTTGTTTAGAAAACTTTTGAAGGCTATTTATAAATTACTATTTTCTTAAATCAATATATATCCAAATTCGACACTTAATTTATTAAAAAAACTATTTTATAATTACATTTTTTGAGCATATATTTGTGTTATTACATATAGAGGTTATTAATTGTATATATTTATGAAATATTTCTAAATATTCCAATCAATAAAAGAAATTCTATGCTTCTTCAATATATGAAATTATTATTCTCTCTCTCTCTCTCTCTCTCTCTATATATATATATATATATATAAT